GCCTTTCCATGTTCCTGTCCCGCCCAGGACTCCTACCAGTTCACCCTGGAGCAGCTGGGTCCTCAGGCTCTGCCCCTCCTGACAACCCAGGCGCTTGAAAAGACCCACGTGAGCCCGTGTAGCTCTGAAGCTAGGGTTGCTCTGGGAGGGTCCAGGTGGCTGGTCTGGGTGGTCATTCTTACCTTGGTCCCTTTCTCCTCCAGTGGCTTTTGTTTCCTTTTCTCCCTGTGTTGTTTCCCCTTTGGGTTTTGTCAGTTCCTCCTGTCCTTGTGGACACATCGCCTTGATGTGCACGTCCTTGGACAGTGCTTCTCTTGAGCATTTTGAGCATTGCCACGCGCTGTTTCTAGGATTGTCTTTCACTGCAGCCCCGCCGCTGTCCAACAGACCGGAGAGCCCTGGTGAGGGAAGTTTCTGTGCCCGGCTCTTAGAGGAGGTGACTCGTTATCTGATGCAGCTCGTTTATGGGAGGCACAGGTCACTCATAAGAAGGCTGGAACTGTCCGAGGAATCCTATCTTGCTGCCTGGCAGGGCTGCGTAGCTGGCCCTGGTAGTGTTTGATTTGTTTAAGACCATGAGGTGGAAGACCTAGCTGGGGCGCTCCCTCTACCAGCTTCTCAACACTGCTCTCTGTAGGGAAGTGGGGATTTTAACTGAAGTCATTGGATTCTGGACATAAAATGTTTTGCTTCAGGGGCCAAACAGTGTTTGCCGTGCCTGTGATGACGGTGGGTAGGAAGGCCTAGGCCAGGATGCTGCTGTCCCCAGACAGGCGTGATGTCTGAGCAGCAGTTCGGTGCACTGCCAGAGCTGGTGGTGAAGTTGTTTTCTTCAGAGACCCTTCCTGAGGAGTGGGAGTTGGAGTGTCTGGTCAGGGGCCAGAAACTGCGGGCGGGGGTCAGTGATGCGGGTGGGTGTGGGACATGGTCGGGCCTCCTAGGGAAGGGTGTGACTGGTGAAGCTGTGTTTGCTCTTTGTCAGCAGGAAATCCAAATCTCCTCCCAAAGTGCCCATTGTGATTCAAGACGATAGCCTTCCCACCGGGCCCCCTCCACAGATCCGCATCCTCAAGAGGCCCACCAGCAACGGTGTGGTCAGCAGCCCTAACTCCACCAGCAGGCCAGCCCTTCCAGTCAAGTCCCTAGCACAGCGGGAGGCTGAGTACGCCGAGGCCCGGAAGCGGATCCTGGGCAGCGCCAGCCCTGAGGAGGAGCAGGAGAAACCTATCCTCGACAGGTAAGTGTAGCTGGCAGGGCTGACCATCCCCCATCCCCCAGAGCACATTCAAGTAAGGCTTGGCCAACGGTAGACTAGTGAGACGCTGCTCTCGGCTGCTGGCACCTGCATGCAGGCTCATGCACCCTGCTCTGAGGCGGTGCTGGTTTGCCATGCAGGTGAATGGTGTCTGCAGTCTGCAGGCATTTGGGGCAGTGCCAAAAGCCATGTAAAGGCGTGGACTTGGAATTAAAATCTCCCAGTTGCTTTCTCTTAACTCACAGTCCTGAACCTCTTGCCTAGTCTGAGAAATGGGATGGTGGTAATGCCTGCCTCACCAAGTCGCGCAGTGGAAAGTGCTGCTAGTGCTGCAGTGTTATCTTCCAGTCACGTACTGTGATATTCTGTGTATTTTCTAAACTCTTTTTCTCATGCTTTTTTCTCCTGTAGCACTGGAGGTTGCATTACTTAAGTTTGTGGATTCCTGGGGAAGCAGTACTTTTTTTTTTTTTTTTTTAGTTCTTGTTTATGTTTACATGGTCTTTTGCTAACTTTGAGGCCTTTGGTCTTTCCTCCTCCTCCTCCTCTTTTTTTTTGGTGTCAGGAATCGAACTCAGGACCTTGTGCTTGCCAGGCAGGCGTTTGTGCTGCTGAAGCTATATCGCTGGCAACATTCCTCCTTTTTTTGAACCCAAAGTCTTCACACTGAGCTGTATCCCCAGGGTTTTGGTTTTTTGTTTGTTTGTTTTTGAGACATGATCTCGTGAAGTCACTAAATAGTCCACACTGGGCTCTGAACTTGCTATCCTTTGGCCTCAGCCTCCCAGTGCTAGAATTACAGGCTCCACCACACTCACATTTTCCTTGTTTTGAAGGGCTCTCCAGCGTTTGTTTTCTCTGCTGTCTGCATCTTTCCTAGTGGGAAATGTCCTTTCTCATCAGTCTTCTCTAGTTGTGTGAGGCATAAGCAGGAAGCAGAACAGGGAGTGTTGGGGTGCGTGTAGCTCGGAGTCTTTCCCTTGCGCGACACTGGGGAGTCTGCACCATGGCTCTGGAGGCTGTGCTGCCATGGCTACTGCTAGGAACAGGATGGGTGATGCCTACAAATGAGTGATGGTGAGCCAGAGGGAGAATGCCATGGGCTGCCCTCCTGCCCACAGGGACCGCCCAACTTGGAGGTGCCTCCATCCGCCTGCCCAAAGCAGCAGGCTCCTGAAGCCAAAGTTGGGTGCTAGCTACCATGATACCTGTCTCAGCTGCAAGCATGGTTGATTTTAAGATCCGAGGACATCTTTTATGTCTTGCTTCAAGCCTTCCGATTTTCTTTCCTGCAGGCCGACCAGGATCTCCCAACCAGAAGATAGCAGGCAGCCCAATAATGTGATCAGACAGCCTTTGGGTCCTGATGGGTCGCAAGGCTTCAAACAGCGCAGATAAATGCAGGCGAGAAAGGATGCCGCCGCTGCCGCCGTCACCACCTCCTGGGTCATCAGCCATGGGTTGCACTGCTGTGGCAGACAGCTGGACTTGAGCAGAGGGAACGACCTGACTTACTTGCACTGTGATCCCCCTTGCTCCGCCCACTGTGACCTTGAACCCCATGCACTGTGACCTCCCTCCTTCCCCCCCCTTCCCACTGTGATTGGCACGTCCTCGACAAGGGTTGTCCCAAGTCAATGGAAAGGGAAAAGGTGGGGTTAGGGGAGGGTTGGGGGGGACCCACCAAGGACTCAGAGTAGAGAGTCAGACAGTGCCACTTGGCCACTTGGGGTAAAGCCAGTGCCAGCAATAAGTTTATCATGCTTATTAATTTGGGATTTCAAAACACAAATGAGAACTTCACCTACCCACCCCCAAGTGCATGTCTTCATCACTTAAAAAGTAAGTTCCATTTGAAAATATCCTTTCCTTTTTTTTTTTCCTTCTTCCTATTTTTGTTTGTTTATACAAATACCTGATTTAAGAAAAAGTGCATGGGAGGGGTTTTAGCAGTTTAATGAATTTTTAATTGAGAAAAGGTAGTTTGGTAGTCTACTTAAAAATGTTTCTGGTTTATTCACTAGAAACATTAACCGATAGGATTTTGGTGAGCTTAGCTTCTGTGTTCCTACTGCCGCCCAGAAAAGGGGCAGGGCTCTGCAGCCCCAGGACAGGTGAGCACCCCATGCCTATACCTCCCTCCCCCAGCTAAGCCCCTGGCACCTTGCCCTGCCCGGAGTCAGGGCTAGCTCTTTAGGCTCAGAGAGCCTGGGGAGGGTGCCAACCCACCTCTAGTATTTTGGGAGACAGGGAAAGTGACAGGCTTCCCCTTCCCCTACCCCTCAGGGTGGCTTCCTACCAGCCAGGCAAGAGAGCAGAGAGCATCAGGGAGTGAGACTGTGCTCCTGGGCTTAGAAGTAGGGGAGACGAGGTTTGGTCAGTACTTGCTGTCAGCACAGGGAGACCAGGAGAGAGCCTGGCTCCCAGACTGTGAGCCTGCACCTGGTTAGACCTTCCCACCCCAGCAAGGCTGGAACTCCTCCTGCCATGGCTGCAGCTCGGTGACTATACCTGCTACATTTCCTCTGTGAAATCAGTATCTCAGGAGCAGAACAGTCTGAATAAAGTGGGGAAGGGTAAAGCCGTGCATCGCAAAGATGGATGGCCACCGCCAAGTTCTCCAGAGGCCAGGGCTGCCCTCTACTACTTTTTCCAGAGCAAGGGCCTGGTATGAAGACGGTTTCTCCTCTGGCTGTGGGGCCTGGAGATTTGCTTTGACTCCTTGAGAAGAGGTTGGCAGGGCAGCTGCCCAGGGCAGCTCCGTGTGTGCAGCCTGCCTCCACCTAGCTTGCTGTTTCTTGGGATGCACTGCGCTTTACCCTCAGCCGGCCAGGCGGCCTCCCGCTCCTGACCAGTGGGTGGGTTTTGGAGTGGTTGGTGTGGTTTCGGAGTAGGGCAGCTTGTGGTGGCCCAGGTGGCAGGCCGGATTTTGCAGGCTTACTCTGCATTGGGTTCACCTGGCCAGGCCCAGCCATGTTCCAGGCCATCTCCCTAGGAGGAAGGACCAGCTGCCAGTTGAGCCTGTGACTGGTCCATGGCCCAGCCTTAGAACTGTGTGAAGCCAGGAATTGTCTGTGAATGGAGCCAGAGCGGAGGGTCAGTCAGTAAGGGGGGCAGCTACTGCAAGGAGTGGGCAGGAAGAAAGTTGGCTGCTGTCTTAGTCTCCTGGCCTGACCAAGCGTGCATACTCAGTGTCTCGTGCCCACCCCTCAAGTCAGAGTGGCTTCTCACCAAGGCAGAACTCTCCTTTCAGTGGGAGAGGGCTGCGGGGCAGTGCAGGTGGGAAGGCCGGGCAGGCCGCTGGCTCTGCCTTGGCACCACCTGTTCCTGCACCACCCCTCTGGTGGGAGCCAGGACAGCTGGCGTCGGGCCTGAGCATGCGACCAGGACTGTTGCTCCCACCTCTCTCCGGCCAAAGAAGGGCTCCGCCCACACTGTGCCTGTCACCACCCACCAGCAGTCATGCCTTTGGCTTCCCAGATGAGAGGTAGCAGGCAAAATGAAAGAAAACAGGAAACTATTATTTGGGGGGAGGCGGGAGGGAAGATGGGAAAACGGTTTGGATTTTGTGTGGGGTTTTTTTGTAGTTGTCTGTAACTTCCCTTAAGTGCTTTTCCTTTTTCTTCTTTTTTTTTTTTTTTAAAGTAAGTTGCAGGCTTTGGCTTGGAAATCCCCAGGGGAATGAGGGGCAGGACCCTGAGGCTGCTGCCCCCTCTAACTCCCTTCACGGTACCGTCCCTTTCCCCAGCTCCTCGCAGACCCCATGAGCCAGGCCTCAGTCCTTCCGGCTAGCCGCTTCCCATGAGCCACTACTCTGATGTCAGCCTATAACCAAAGGAGCCAGGGCCCAGGCCTGGTGACCAGCCCTTCTCAGCAGTCAGGGTGCTCCCCACCTGCAGGCAGGATGCAACACCCTGTCTGCTACCATCAGTCCCTTCCAGAGCCCATGTGCCCCGCCTAGCCCTGCCCTGCCCAGCCATACCCTGCTCTGCCCCATTTGGGGGTGCCCTGCTCAGGGATGGGCCGGCAGGGCTGCACCCAGCCTCCCTGGCAAGCAGAGACTCAAGAGACCTCTGGGGTTCTGTTTTCTGGTCGTGTGATCCCAGGGGTGCACATGGGCCCCTGGGTGTCTGAACAGAAGGGAATGGGAGGGGGCCACACCCCTGCATCTTGCTTTGCTGGTGCAGTGGGCAGCTGCCTACCCCCCGCCCCACCCCTACACGCAGGCTCCTGAGTCGGCAGATTAAGCATTTTATAAATTGTATTTTAAATACATGTTTTAAACTTGTCAGATCCTTGTCTTTTTTTCAACCCCTGGCCTTTTACCTCTTGCTGTGGCTGCTTGTTGAACCCGGTGGAGATGTGGGCTGGATGGTGCGTGGCTTGGGTGTCTGGAGAAGAAGCTCCCCCAGGTCCTTGGGCTCGGTTGGGACAGTGGAGGCTGAGGCCACCTCCTCCCCTCAGGGCCTGCGGCTCCCAGAGGCCAGATCTTTCCTGGGTACTTGGCTTCTGTTTCATGCTGCCTTTGTGGGGCTCCCAGTCCCAGGACATTCATTTCCCGGGGCAGCTCTGTGCTTTGAGAATGTGCAGGCAAAGATGCATAAAGGCACCTGCAGCAGGATTGCCAGCCCTGGATAGGGCCTTAAGGTGGGGCTTGCCTCAGGGATTCTCAAACCTGGGGTGTGGGACCCTGCCCTCTGGAGAGCCACATAGAGGGCGGAAACCTGGGCACCAGGCACAGAGGCTGAGGTCCGTGGTGTTTATTGGCTTACCAGGCCATAAAAACAAACTCACAGCAGCCCCTGCCCAGTGGCCCATCCATCTGCAGGCCTTGAACTGCCTCGCCAGATTCCAGTGGGTCAGCGGGTTCGAGTGGGCAGGGAGCTGAGCCACTTTCCGCCATCGGAGCTGTGTTCCCTGGGGAAGGGTGGAGCAAAGGATGGTAGATGTTTGACCCTCTCCCCGAAGTCCTGCCGGGCTAGGGCCATCCGTGTGTGCCCAGGGGAGAGGTGGCCTCCTCTCAGAGGTGATGGAGGCAGCAGTTGGGCTGAGCCCTTTTTCTTCAGGGGGCCGGGAAGGGAAATCACGGTAGGGTTCAGTCCCTCTGCCCGGCGACTAAGCCAGGTACTTGTAATGTGGAACCAGGCTAGGGCAGAGCGGTTAGGTTCCCTGGGTAGGAAAGGGGATAGTGCCAGCCCCAGCAAAACTGGGTACTACCGAGTCCTGCACACAGGAAGTCCTGCATACTTTGGCCTCAGTGAAGTGACCCACCCTGCTCCTTGGCCCTCCACAAAGGTTAGTGTTTTCCCTTTCTACCCTCTCACCAGCCAGGGAGCTAGCTCAGTGGCACAGTGCCTGCATGGCAAGCTCAAGGTCCTGAGTTCAATTCCCAGTACCAAAAAAATAAAAAAAGTACCCTCTCATCTGTCTCTTCCCAGGCATTGTGTCTGGGAGGACGGATTCCCCATGTGTTAGCCAGGGGCCTCAGGAAGCGGGTAGGTAGAGGGCCTGAGAGAGACCCTGGCCCTCTAGGCACTCACCTGCTGCCTGGAGGTCCTGACTGGAAGAAGAGGCTACGATGGCTACGATGGGTGCTGGGGCTCAGGCTGGCCGGTGCACACTGGTTCAGCATGCTGTGGCTGCCCTGCTTCCGATGGGCCATCTTCTTGTTCAGCCGAGGGTAGAGCGGGACGCAGGGGACCTGGGCATAGGGGCTCTGCAGGTCGGAAGCTAGTAGGAGGGGTATGCTTAAGAGTATGGTGGCCTCAGGAGGCCTGTAGACCCAGGGAAAGCCCTGGCTTTCCACAGAGTGAGCTGGGTGGGCTTGGGCAAGTCCCTTCACCTCTCAGAGCCTCTGAGTGGAGATGATGAAGATTAAAGGGTTGACACATGCAGCATTTGGCTGGACACAGCACAGAATAGAGGCTGACCACAGCTTGATCGGCCTTCGGCATGGGTCCTGGCACAGCCTGGTAGGCACACTAGAAAGACTCTGCAGGGCCCTTTGCTCGTCACTTGGCACACTGCAGGAGCCTAGTAAAGGGTACCAGGGCAAGGGAGGTGGTCTTGCCCTGCGGAAAGACAGGTTTGGGGATTGGGCCGGAGTGTAAACTCCCCTTGCCAACCCAGCTTGGGGCGCCGAGGCAAGGTACTTAAACTTCCTCGGTTCAGTTTTTTCACCTCTGTAAAATGGAGTAAATGTGTGGTTAAATTTTGGACATCTGCAAAGGGTCCCATGCCGTTAACTAACTGCAGTGGGTTCCATGTCAGTGGGGAGCTGGGACTGCTCATCTCTACAGGCCGGGCTGTTGGGAGCAGCCTGTCCTCAGGGCTCCAGCAGGAGGGGAAGCGTCAGTACAGGACCTGTTGGCACAGGGCTGGACGTCCATGGGTGAGACCGAAGTGGGAAACGAGGCCTCTCAGCTCCAGGGGTCTGGTTGGGGGTGGGGGGTCAGGGGAAGGAGGCCAAGTAGGCAGGGGGCTGAGCCCCCTTCCTAGCACAGCCGCCTGGCTCCTCACCATTCTGCTTCAGCCGACTTAGGATGCTGAGGACCCTGCGCTCTGGGGCTTCCAAACGGTCTGCCTGCTGGTGGTTGTAGGTAACCTGCTTCTGTGACCGCAGCTGGCCTATGGCTGATGGCATCTCTCGGGCTTTACAGGTACCTTCTTTCAGCTTCTTCTGGTAGTAGCTGGGGAGGCAGTGCCCGCCCAGCTCAGCCTGGCTGTGGTTAGTTCATGCCACCCAACTCCTCCTGAGCCCCTTTTCTCTCTGACTAGCTCTGGAGCAGGAACACAAGCCCAGGAGCCAGGAGACCTGCGTTCTGGTCCCAGCTCTGCCCAGTCTTCCTGTGTCCATTGGCCAGTACTGCCCTGCTCTGGGCCTCAGTGCCCTGTGTAAAATGTGGGAAGACAAGGCTGCCCAATCACCGGAAGTCACCTGACTCCTCTGAGGTTTAGCTGCCCACCCCCCGGCCCCCTCCGTAAGACAGGGATCGAATGCTCCACATGCTATAGGGTTACTGGCATGCCTGTCAAGTGCACGGTACCATCTGCTTCAGAGCTCAGTCCCTTAACCACCAGTTACTCAAGGTTTTTGTTTTGTTTTTTCATACACGATTTTTGTCCCCGTCATTTTTACTTAGATGCCCAATTCCTTATAAACCAGCCTTGTAGCTAACTTCTGCTTGTCCCCTAAGTTTCAGCCTGAGGGCTATCTCTGGAAAATCCATTGTCCTCTCCCCATGGACCATGTAGGCTCCCGTAGTCATCTTGGGTCCCTAATGACTTGTACTAACCCACTAGAACCCACAACCTGCTTATTACTACTTGCCTTTCCCCCCCTCTAGGCTGCAGCACTGTTCATGCAGCAGATTTCACTGAATGTGCACCGTACTGGCTACACTTCTAAGTGCCTGGGAAAGTGTTGTAGGAGACGTCACACAGGGCCCCTGTGTCACGGTCTCAGCGGAACCTGCAGGCAGAGCCTTCCCTGCAGAGGGACGGCATTGAGAGGCGAGGAAGAGGGAAGGAGCGAGGCAAGAGGGGCTGGAGCCTGGTGTGGAGAGACCGGAAGAGACGCAGCAGCAAGATGGCAGTGGTGCGGGGCAGACAAGCTGCTGTCAGTGTTGGGAAGCCCTTACGGCTGGCACCAGAGGGTCTTCCAGCGCCTTGGCCCGGAGTCTGGTTTTAATGTTTCAGTGAGCTTCACACACAGGAAACTAACCCAGAGCTTCTCATGTTGGGAGGTGCATCTAGATCCCAGTGGAAAACTACGGACACCCCCCCCACACCATAGCATCACTCTGAGTCTGAACAATGGGCTAGAAAATGACTTCATCTATAAATATGCAAAAAAGAAGGGAAGAAAAAATGACTTCACAGGAGCAGAATGTGTAACTTTCTCAGTCACAGTTGTAGAGGAAATTGCTTGCTTTTTACTTCCTCTTTCCCCTTTCCTGTAGGTCTGAATTCTGATGTGTGCACATGTGGTTGCTTTAGGATTGACCTAGGAAATAGTGGAACGATACACTGGGAAGAAACAGCACCTTCGAAACTGGCTCCTTGCCCGCTGCTTCCTCCACTGGTCAGTGTAAGAAAAACAAACTCCTGTCTTGTTTGAACTCAGGCATAATGAGGCCTGTTCTTTAACACACCAGCCTAAAATTCTGTACCCAGCTAAATTATTATGTGTCAGAGTAGAATAACCACATTTGTAGCCATACAAAATCTCAAAAAAAAAATTGCCTCCTATGCATCCTTTCTCAAGAAGCTGCTGTGGGGACAGCATGTGCAGGTTGAAGCAAAAGGGTTGCAAGTTCAAGATCAGCCTGAACTACAACATGAGATACTGTCTCCAGCTGGGCGTGGTGGCGCATGCCTGTGGTCCCACCTCTCAGGAGGCTGAGGCAGGAGGATAGCTGCAAGTTCAAGGCCAGCCTGGGCTACAAAGCAAGTTCAAGGCCAGCCTGAACTGCAAAATGAGATACTGTCTCATACAAACAAAAAAGCTCCTGGGGGGACATGTTCCAAAGTAAGAGCATAAAATAAAAAAGAAAAGGAAGCTTTATACATGCAGATAGGGGCTCTGACCCAGGAGAAAGGCAAGGTGAAACGGGGAGGGGGCCCCCGCACTGGCAGTCCAAATGCCAGAAGGGTAACCACTTTACACCGCATCGCCGAAAAGCAAGTGTGAGGGCATCGCTCTTCCTGTGGTTGAATTACTGCCTCTTTAATTCAGGAAAGCTACTGGGGAAACATACTCCCATAAAGAAAAGGAGGAGAGAAAGAAGAAGGAAAAGCAGGTCAAGAAGACCAAGAAAGGGATTCAGGAAATGTAGAGTCCAAAGCAGAGGAAGATAAGATAAAAAAATTTAAAAATTTAAAATAAACAAACCAGAGGAAGAATTCCTGGGGTACAGAAGAGCCTCAGGATGACAGCTCTGCGGCAGTTTCTCCAAAAACAAGAGGGATGGATTTCTTTAAAACGTGCTTCCGAGAAAAAACAGCAGGTGCAGGGAGAATTACAGTGGATACAAACAAAAAACATCAAGGCAATTGTTAACTTTAGAAATTGTAAAAAGGAGGAGGAGGAAAGGAAGGAAATGAAATCATAGTACAAATGGAGCATTCCTAATCGAAATATCCAAACGCTCCAAAATCTGAAACTTTGAGGTCCAGAGTTTGACACCACAAATGGAAAATTCCACACCTGACCAACACAAGCACGTAAAAATACTGTATAAAATTACCCCACGGGTATGCGTATAAGGCATATATTAAACACACATGAATATCATGTTTAGGCTTGGGTTCCATTCCCCAGGTATCTCATTATGCATATGCAAAAATTTTAAAAATCCAAAACACTTCTGGCCCCAGGCATGCTCAGTTGTGGGGCCAGGGATATAGCTCAGTGGCACAAACATCTGCCTGGCAAGCACAAGGTCTTGAGTTCAATTTCTGGTGCCAAAAAAATGAAATAAAATGCTCAGTTGCTTAGCTATAACTAATAGAAATCCCAAATATGGAATTATTCCCAAAGAAATTATTCCCAAAGAAATCCCAAACTGATACAGGAATATATATATAGGAACAGGACAGAGGCAGACAGGATATTTGTATCTGACAAAAATCCTTATCCACAATAACAAGAAGCCAACAAATAAAAGTATAAGGATCACTGATCAAAATATGCAGTGTGGCCGGGCATGGCGGCGCACGCCTGTAATCCCAGCACTCGAGAGGCTGAGGCAGGAGGATCGTTGCGAGTTCAAGACCAGCCTGGGCTACAAAGTGAGCTCAAGACCAGCTTAAACTGCATAGGGAGACCCTGTCTCGAAAAGAAAAAAAAAAAAAAAATGCAGTGTGATCAAAAGCTATAGTGAATATTTAAATTCTTTAAAATTTTCGACAGTAAAAGATATATTACCATTAATCGCCCTTAAAATCCCCCTCTCTTCAAACACATTCCATTCATCTTGTTACTTTCTGAAGCCATTCTGGAAGTCCTCTTTCATGAGTGTCTTTAATTGTGTTGTCTTGACTACCTCAATGTCCTAAACTGACTCAAAATATTTACCTTTCATGATCATTTTTTGGCTTTGGGAAGAGTCAGAAGCTGCCCGGTGCCAGATCCCGTGAGAAAGGTGGATAAAGACATATTGTAATGTTTTTATTTGAAATCAGTGGCTGTAAACAATTGATCAACAAGAGGTAATCCAGCCAGGATGTAGGTCAGCGACAAAGCACCTACCTGGCAAGCACAAAGTCCTGAGTTCAATTCACAGTACAGAAAAAAAAAAAGTGATCATAAAATATGGTGAATGTTTAAATTGAAAAATGTATTACAGTAAAAGACACGTTACCATAGATCCCCCTCAGAATACTCCCCACTTCACTTTGAAGAAATTTAGCCCATCATTCTTGGCCATGTGTCTTGACCATAATAGGTTTTTTAAAAAATTTAAACGTTCACCATACCTTTTGATCAGGCCTTGTATTGTAGCACATGTATATTATTTAGAAGTAAGGACAGAGTTTGTTATAAACATTTTTAACTGTCAGTATGTATGTATGCATTTTTTTTTTTTTTTTTTTTGGTTTTTCTCCGGTACCGGGATATGTATGCATTTTTGAGACAGGGTCTCGCTGTGTAGTTTAGGATGGCCTTGAATTCACTATGTAGCCCAGGCTGGCCTTGAACCTGTAGTGATCCTTCTGCCTCAGCTTCCCAAGTGCTGAGATTACAGGCGTGGACCACTATGCCCGACCTTGAACTACTCAGCTTTTAAAACAATATCCTCTTACCACTTTGATTTAAATTTTTAAAAATTTAGTCAAAGGATGAAAAAATACATATCATTTCAATATTGACTAAAAGTTGGTATAGCCATATTGTTAAAAACAAAACAAAAGTAGGGCCAGGGATATAACTTAGTGGCAGCTCAGCGCCTGCCTGGCAAGCACAAGCTCCTGAGTTTGATTCCTGGTACCAAAAATAAAAAATAAATAAGCAAAAAACAAAGCAAAACTAGGCCTTATGACAAAAAGCAGTACTAGAGACATAAATGACTACTCTACAGTGATAAAATACTCACTTTGGGAAGTATAAAATACTGAACATGAAATACAAAGGAAAATTGCAAGGAGAAATAATTCCTCCATCACCCGGTGATAACGAACGAGAAGAGGAAGGAGCCCCCCACGTTACGGTAGAGTTCCAGCTAATAAAGGAAAGGGGAAATGGAGTTAGAAAACCCACATTTCCAGCAGGGCACAATGGCCCTCACCTGATCCAAACACACTGGGAAGCTGAGGAAGAAGGATCGAAATAAAAAAGGACGGGGAATGCAGCTCCGTGCAAGAGCCTAGTTCAACCCCCAGTACCAACCCGCACGCCTATGAAAAGAACAACAATTAATAAGTGAGATGAAGTTAGAAAAATGACTGCATTTCAGGCTGGGGTGTAGCTCAGCGGTAAAGCATGTGCTTAGCAGGTGTGAATACCTGGGTTCTATCCCCAGCACACACAAAAAGAATTATCGGGGTGTGTGATGAGGAATAGACCCGAGTTAATGTCCCATAAAAAGTGAAACTTTTAAGATCTGACTCTTGGGTATGTGTCTCTTTTTCATTCAACAGTCTTTAAAGTCTTTCCGTTGCATACCAAGGTAAGTAATATGGTTGTCTTAAGGAAAAGCACTTCTCCAATTGAGTTTTGGGCTAAACTAGCTACGTGTGTGTGTGTGTGTGTGGCAGGGATTGAACCTAGGGTCTTTACACTGACCTACATTCCCATCTCTTTATATATCTATATGTGTACTTTTTTCTTTTTGGTACCAGGAATCAAACTCAGAACCTTGCGCTTGCCAGGCAGGCGTTTGTGCCACTGAGCTATATCCCTGGCCCTTTCATATTTTATTTTGAGACAAGGTCTTACTAAATTACTAAGTTGCCCAGGCTGGGCTCAAATTTGTGATTCTCCTGCCTCAGCCTCCCTGAGTGTTAGGATTACAACCATGTACTACCACAACCAGCTATGCTATTTTTTCCATAAAAAGTCATTTTTACTTAAAAGAGAACAAACATTGGGCTTGGAGTGGTAGCTCAGTGGGAGAGTGCATGTTTAGCACATGTGAGGCCCTGGATTTGCTGGCTGGGACTAAAACAAATAAGCAAACTATGGTTATTCATCCTTGAGTATTTGGCAGATATTTTCATGAAAATGAAGTTAGCCCATGGCTTTAAGTAAAACAACTGACAGTACCTGTCTATAAAAACTTTTGAGGTTTTGAGTAAAAATTAGAATTTTAGAAAATATATCCACTATCATAAGCATATGCATTTTTTTTTTTTTTTTTTTTTTTTTTTTTTTTGGTTTTTCTCCGGTACCGGGAACCGAACTCACGACCTTGCGCTTGCCAGGCAGGTGCTTTTGCCACTGAGCTAAATCCCCAGCCCCAAGCATATGCATATTAATAGACAAAATAGTTCGTAGCAGTGAAAATGAATGAACTATACCTACACTAATAGTTTTCATAGTGATTCTCTTTTTTCTAATAATGACTCTTTCTGATGAGGTTAGTGGTAAAATTAATACTTCTAGTATATGTGATACATAATAATTATAATGAAATGTGTCAATGTTTTGAAGCTAACAGAAGCATTTATGGGAAAAGACCCATTTAAACTGCAAGACAGACTAGTAGACTGATTGTGTGTGTGTGTGTGTGTGTGTGTGTGTGTGTCTTTTTGAGACAGGGTCTTGCTATACAGTTCAAGCTGGGCTTGAGCTCACTTTGTAGCCCAGACTGGTGTCAAACTCGAAACAGTTCTCCTGTCTCTGCCTCCTAAGTACTGGGATTACAGGGGTGTGCCACCACACCCGACTTAGAATTTGATTTAAAAGAGTAAGAAAAGCTCACTGATACAGCTTCAGATTCCACATTAGAATCAACCTTGGACACTGCTACTTGTCAAATTTGATGTCGTAGCAAAGAAATAATCCGCAGGATATGTGGGTATTAAATGAAAAACATTACTAAGATCCTTCCTTTTCCAAAGTTATGTGATCCTGTAATTCCATCTTCTCAGGAAGCTGAGGCAAGAGGATCATAAGTTGGAGGATAATCTGGACCTTACCTCAAAATATAGAAAATTAAACCAGGCATGGTGACCCATACATGTAATCCCAGCACTCTGGGAGGCTGAGACAGGAGGATCACTGTGAGTTCAAGACCAGGTGAGGGGTGTAGCCTTCTAGATGTGTGTTCTAATGGGCCAGACAGTGTTGAGACCCCTACAATGACTGAGGGTTTATGGTTCAAGCCAACTGGTCCACAGGAGGCCCTGATATTTGTGGTTTTTTGTTGTCATTTTTTTTGTCTTTTTGAGACAGGGTCTCACTATGCAGTTCAGGCTGGCCTTGAGCTCACTTTGTAACCTAGGCTGGTCTCGAACTTGCAAGGATCCTCCTGCCTCAGCCTCCCAAGTGCTGGGATTACAGGTGTGTGCCACCTAGGCCCTGATATTTGGTTCTGCATTATTCAGGGATGTCTGTGAGAGTGTTCCTGGATGCCAGTAGCATTTGCATGGTGGATGGAGGACCTGGGGGCTGCCCCGGTGTGGATGGGCCTCACCCAATCTGTTTAAGGCCTGAACAGAACCAAAAGTCTGCAGAAGAAGGGCTGGGGATATAGCTTGCGGCACAGCACCCGCCTGGCAAGTGCGAGGTCATGAGTTCGATTCCCAGTACCAAAAAAAAGAAAAAAAAGTCTGCAGAACAAATAACGTGTGCTCTCAGCCAGCCTGTCTTTGAGGGCCCATCAGTCAGTCTCTTGCCCTCAAGTTTGGGCTCAATCCAGAACTCACACTCCTGGCTCTCCTGACTGTTAGGTTGTCCCTCACAGTAAGGAGTCAGGCAATCATGTCTCCATTTTACAGATGAAGACACTGAGGCCCAAGGACAAGGGGACTTGCCCAAGGCTACAGAACACAGACAGGCAAAACCCTAACACCTTCCTTCCTCCCACCGGGCCAGAGTTACCTCTAATCCACTTACAAAAAGTTTGTGCAGAGCAGTCAACAAAAAGCACTGTAAGGTTTTGGTGCTATTGAGAGACACTGACAGAGATAAAAGTTTTCATCGCCTGTGCGGGAGGGTTGCAGGAGGTTGCAAGGACCCTCGGAGGAGGGAGCTGGGGAAAAGGTTTTATTAGGTTGGTCTAGGGGTGGGGTTAGTATGGGCAGGCAAGGAGTCATATCTCGAGAAGACTGGAGATTTATTGGCGCGATCATAAAAAGGGAGCAGGGAGTTTAGTTTGGGACTGGAGGAAGAATATGAATGTTAGTCTCGGAGGGACACACTGTCGTTTTGGGGATTGGCGCCATATTGGATTGTCACCATGATGGCCTCAGCAAAGTTTTATGTGGGCGGAGACTCATGAAGAATTTTTTGAATTCCGATCTCATTTGAGCCTCACACCCACCACGGCTGAAAGCTGCCATTTATGAGCTGCAAGCATAAAATATGTTCATGTTTCAGGCCGGAAATGGAGACGAGGGGTGCTGTGAGGCATGCGACTGAGACCACGGTGGGGACCTAGTGCCACTGCACTTCCGCGTTTCCTCCCAGCCCTGGAATGCTCGTAATCCCTGCCTGTCTCCCTTAGGGGCCTCCACCCCACCTCACCTTCCCTGCGCACAGGCAGGGTTTAGCCTTGTGGCCACGGGCAGGGTCCCTTAGAGTCCTCTTCTGGGATCACTGTATGAGAAACGCAGGAAAGAACTTCTCTTCCTGCTGAAGTGGAGGAGCTAAAGGCTCCTGTGAGTATGAGGTTCTGTTTACACCTTCTCCCTGGAGAGATGCCTGAGTTTGTAGCCCGGGCATGGAGAGGTAAAGACTTACTGATACTTGGTCTCCTGGATCCAGCCTTTCCTGAAGCTCCAACCAGTTATTTGAGCTAATGTATCCTGTTTTGTTTAAATCATTTTTGTTGTTATTGTTGCTGTTTTGAGACAGGGTCTCACTATGTAGTTCAGGCTGGCCTTGAACTCACTATGCAGGCCAGGCTGGTCTCAAACTCATGACAATCCTCCTGCCTCAGCTTCCTGAGTGCTATGTGTAAGCCAGTTTTATCTGGGCTTCTTTCACTTGCAATAAAGTCCTCACTGGCAAAACTCTTCAGCTGCCAAAACGCCAGATGTCACCTTTGCATCCCCAACCCCCCACCCCAAACACATCAGCGCTACTCACCTGGTGATCTCCTCTAAGACTGCCTCGGGTAAGGCCAGCATCTCCACCAGCAGAGACAGGATCTCAAAGAGCAGAGTGTGCGGGTTCGGGGCAGCCACATTTGTCATAGCGTTCTGTTCTGAGGACATGGGATAGTGGCTGCTGTTACCACGGGTTGGGCCTGGATGCCTCCCCCATCAGCGTTCCAGGTCCTCCTCCAACTCAGCTGCCCCAGGCTGGGCCCTGCTCACCCATGGAGCAGAAGAAGCGCCTGGTGTCTGTCATCACAGCCAGGAAGTCTTTGAAGTCCACATGACCGTCTCCTGCGGAGGCCAAAGGAGGAACGGGGTGAGTGGGGGCCTTGTGGAGCGGGCCCAGGCTCTGCCACCCAGCCATGGTCACCAGCTCACTCGCTGGGTCTGGTTACAAAAGTGACACATGTTCAATGCAGAAAATGCCATGGGCTAGGATGATGAAAGCTAAAATCTCCCAGGTTAGGCCGGCGGGATGGCACACGCCTGTAATCCCAGCACTTGGGAGGCTGAGGCAGGAGGATCACTGTGAGCTCGAGACCAGCCTGGGCTACAAATTGAGCTCAAGGCCAGCCTGAACTGCACAGCGAGACTCTGTCTCAAAAAGACAAAAACAAAAAACAAAACAAAACAAAAAGTCCCAGGTTATAAACTGCTGGAAATTATGTCCTGGAGGGGGCAGTTTGGGCTACTATCCCAGCCCTGCCACTTCTATCCATGGATCTCTCCACCCGAGTAAGCTCAGTGTTCCCATCCGTAGAGGACACTTGAACGCCTGTCTCATGGGAGATAAAATGAGCGGAGGTGCTTAGCATTAGTCTAGGCCCACTGAACGGCAGGCGTCTAGTAAATGGTTCCTGGGTGAATAATACTAGCAGCTCCCGTCTCTGGGCGTGTTCTGTGCACCAGGCACTGTGCTGTGCTGGACGCATTGCCTGGATTATCTCGTTTCATCTTTACAGAAGCCTGGTGAGGTGGACACTGTTACCAGCCCCATTCTACGGATGGAGAGACCAGGATGGAACAAACTTCTGTGACGTGTCCAAGGCCACACAGCTGATAAAGTGAGTGATTGAGTCATGGAGGAGCCTCAGATGAAGCCTGGGCAGGACGCTGGGAGGAAGGGATCCCCAAGATCACCTACACCTTGAGGTCAAGAGGCTCAGCAATCTCTGGGTCCCCAGAAATTAGAATTGAATAGCGTGAGCTCCCAGAACCAGGACCTGCTACATCACATGTGGAATCCAGTTGTCATGGTGTAGATTGAAAGTGTCCCCCCAAATTCGCACGTGTGCAGAAGGCGATTGGCTCACGGGATGCCACACTCATCAGTGATGACTTCAAAGCTAAGTGTGCTTCTGCTTCTGTGTGCTTCCTGGGTAGGGGTGGGTCGGTGGGGGTGTGACCCGGAAGGGTGATTCCCTCCGTGGCTCCTCTCTTTGGTCTCTGAATGAGCAGCTCCCCTCCGCTGTCCCCCTCTGCCACTTGTTTCTGCCTTGGACCCAGCCAGCCGTGGGCTGAAGTCACCAGCCCAAATAAACCTCTCCTCCTTTGTGCTATGGGTATCAGGCATTGTGTCCCAGCAAGGAGAAAGTGGCCAAGACACTGGTGCACAGGATGGAGGCCCTTGTTCAAAAGCTATAAGAGGTACCGGAAGAAAAACAAAAACAAAAACAAAACAAAACAAAAGCTGTAAGAATTTCTAGCTGGGCGTGGTGGCACAAGCCTGTAATTCCAGCACTCGGGAGGCTGAGGCAGGACAATTGTTGCTAGTTCGAGACCAGCCTCGGCTACAAAGTGAGCTCAAGGCCAGCCTGAACTGCATAGTGAGACCCTGTCTCAAAAAGAAAAAAAAAGAACTTCTATACTACAACAGCAGAGCCTGAAACCAAGCAGAGAGCCCTGCATGAGGCACAGCCCTCCTACCCTGGGCTCACAGCTGAGCCCCAGCCTCACCATTGACGTCAGCGCTCAACAGGGCCGCCTCCACCTGCGCCGGAGTCAGGGAGAAGCCCACGAGGACCAGGATGTTCTTCAGGCTCTGGGTGTCCACCTCGCCGGGGCCGTTGAAGATCTCAAAGTAGCTGCGGAAGGCTGTGGCGAGAACAGGGCACCTCTTGGGTCCCCGTTTGTCCTACCCCTCCAACGACCTTCGCCACCATGGTCAGGTGAGGGGCAGCGCTAATTAAAAGAGCAAAAATGGGGACTGGGTTCACTGCCGTCTCTACTCTGAGGCCAGGCTAGCGGTCTGCTGGCGTGACTAGAACGGAGCTCATTAGGGGCCCCTGTGGGGTGACAGGAGCGCCCCCACTTTGGGACATAAACTCTGCACCTGACACTGGCAAAGGTCTCTGTACTCATTTAACCCTCACGTCATTCTCGTAGGAGTCGAGTGCTTATGCTCGTTGGAAAGGTGGGGAAACTGAGGCAGCGACCACACAGGTCTCCCTTGCTGAGCGTGTGCCCTGGACAATGGTGTCTGCAGACACCGCTCGGCCCAGACCTGGCTTCTGTGGTAGTTTGGGTGTTCTGGACCAGAAGACAGGACAGAGCTGAAAAAGGCCCCGTGTAGCACCAACCAAGACACAAGGTCAGAGCATTCTGAGTGGGGTTTCTCCACCCACGGCGTGTCTTTTTCTGCCCACAGCAAAGTCTAGGTCACCACAGCCTTGGGATTGGCTGGGCCGTGTAATAAGCTGGGTTGTTGTTGCGGGCTGGAGTCTGTCCTCCCAAAATTCATGTGTCGAAGCCCTAAGCCCCCATGCCTCAGAATGTGGTTGTATGGAAAGAGGGCCTTTCGTTTTGTTTTGTTTTGTTTTGTTTTGTTGAGACAGGATTGGCTAAATTGCCCCAATTGGCCTTGAACTCTCGATCTTCCTGCCTCGGCCCCCTGAGTGCTGGGATTACAGGTGTGCACCACCACGTACAACTGAGAGGGGGGCTTTAAAGAGGCAATTAAACAAGTTAACATGAGGCATGAGGGTGGGCTCTAAGCCAATCTGACTGGTGTCCTGATATAGGAAAAGGAAATTAAGACAGACACACACATACTGGGGATGTGTGTACACAGCAGAAAAGCCTGGAGAGGACACGGCTGCCCACAAGCCAGGGCCAGGCCCCTAGAGAGACCAACCGAGCCAGCACCTTGACCTTGGACTTCTAGCAAGCCAGTCAGTGGCATTCTGTTACAGCAGCTTGAGCTGAGCAGTGTGGGTGCCACAAGCCAAGGCATGACCTTCCTGAGCCTTGATTTCCCTCTCATAACCCACAGTATTACGGCCTCCTGGAGCCAGTGGGTCAGGGCAGAGCCTGGCATGTACCAGACTCCGACTTCTCCAAGTCACTGACAAAGAGCTGAAACGTGGGAGCGGGCAGCTAGGACTGGGGTTGGGGTAAGAGTTGCCCTGCCACAGGCGGGCAGCCCTTAAAGGAAGAAACCAAGCGACTGTCAGAAGCAGCTGTGACTGCTCCCAATGTCCAGGGCAGGGCTGGGGCATAGGTCAGTGGCGGAACCCTGCTTCACAATCCCCAACTCAAAAAGCAAAACCCAAACCCCAAAAGTCAAAAAGCCCAGGGGGCCAGGTATAGTGACCCATACTGGTAATCTCAACACTCTAGAGGCTGAGGCAGGAGGATCCCTTCAAGTTCAGGCTACATAGGTGGCTACATAGTTCAAAGTCAGCTTGAAGTACATAGGAAGACCCTGTTTTGGCCATCACTGCCCCCTCCAAGAAGAGCCCAGGAGGCAGGGCAGTCAGCTCTCTGCTCACCAGATGGGCTGGCAGTCTTGGTGGGAAGCCTGAGTCTTCCTATCAAAGCGGCACTCTGTCGTGAGCAGCTCAAGTGTGTGCGTGGGGTGCACTTAGAAAAGCACCCCCAGTGGCTGGGGGTGTTAATGCAGAAAGGAGCGAGCTGTGAGCCACCAGGGGAGGTCACAGGAGCCAGTGACACATCCAGAGGGGCGAGGAAGTGATCACTCATTCCAGCCAAGACGGCCCCAGACTTTGGTGGGGAAGGGAAGGGGTCGCATATTCATTCTTCTGCAGCCAGGGTGAAGGGGGAACCGGTGGGGCCCAGCCCGAGGGTGACCGGCAGCAGAGGGCCCAGGGCCTTCTCCAGGGCGGGGGTTCAGACTTTCCCATTCGGGGGTAGGGTGGGATGCAGTGGGAGAGGGGGTCGGTCAGGGGCTGGTGGCCCTGCTGGATGGGGAGGGACTGTCTAGTGGGGGCCTGGGCCCCTGCCTCCCATCTGGGCGGGCTTCCACGAGGACCCACAGAGCGGGCTGGGCTTGGGAGGCTGACTGGTCTGGAGCTTTTCCAGGGCCTTTGTCCCTATTTTTTTTTGGGGGGGGTACTGAGAATCGAACTCAGGACCTCGCACTTGCCAGGCAGGCGCTTGTGCCGCTGAGCTATATCCCCGGCCCTTGTCCCGACTAGAGGCCACTCTGGAGTTGGCAGAGCACTGGATGCTGAATTACAGGACCCAATGGGGCCTGTGACTAATAAGGTGAATTTCTTGTGGCCTTGGGTCCACCTCCCGCTTTGCTCTGTGCCCTCGGCCAAGTGCAGGGCTGTGGGGCAGCAGGGCAGTGGCGGAGGGTGTGGCGTGTGCAAAAGGCTCCCCACCTTCCTCTTGCTTCAGCGTGAGGTGCTCCTCGGCCTGCTCCTCCCAGCCCTGGCACAGCCTGAGGAGGCCCTGCGCTTCCGTCTCCTGCCTGCAGAAGACACAGGCCTGGGCCCGGGCAGCGCAGCCACCACCTTGCACAGGAGGCTGACGGGGACCCAGGACAGGGAGGAACAGAGCGTTGGGGAGTCCCTGCCACAAGTAACAGGAAGGAGGGGTGAGGCAGAGGGCGCGATGGGGGTAGGAGGAGGCAGGGGGGTCAGAGTGGGGTAGGAGACAGCGAGACACCTGGGAGAGAGTCCAGAGGGAGAGGCAGGGGCCACCTCCAGAAGAGGCTCTGAGCCTGGGAGCCTGGTTGCCGGCGGTGGCCCCTAACATGGCCTGGCACAGCTCGGGCTCCACTCATGGCTCTGGGGCAGCCGCTCCATCCGCCTCCAGCCTAGGTCTAGGAAGGGAGCCCGCAGGACGGGGACGGGCCCAGGGCCTAGGACCAGGACTGCCACAGGGGTGGGGGCGGGGGGCCGGGCCCACAATGGGGTGGTAGGAGGGGCCGAAGTGGGGGCCTGGGGTAGGGTCAGAGGGGCTGAGTAGCTGATGCGGACCGAGGTGGGCCCAGGCTTCAGGGTCCTAGGAGACTTGCGGGCTGTGGGGACACGGGCCTTCCAGGCCCTCCGATGGGCGGCTTCCTCCTCCTCTGCCTCCAGCAAGCACTTCATGAAGCCAGGCCCGGGGTTCCCAGGGCTCTCAGACTCCTGTGCCTTCTGTGTGTGGCCGGGGTCCCTCCTCTCCTCGATGTCGCTCGCCTCCTGGGAACAGGGGAGGGAAACTAGAGGTTTCCTTCTGGCCAGACTGTCCCACAAGGCTCCTTCTGGGGATCCTCAAGCTGCCCCTTCCTCCCTGAACCCCTGCGAGATGTACCCCACATCTGCTGGGCTCCCACCCAGTCCCACCCCGGGGATTATTCCCTTCACTGCAGTCAGCGTGGCCTGCAAAGATTCTATCCCCAGCCAGACAGTAAGCGGTCGGCCCGGGTTATCCACGTGGACCCCTCTCCATGGGGTCTTCAGCGGCTACCGCCTCACCCAGGACGCTGTGGTCCCCATCTGTGCAGCTCAGCCCTTTTTGTCATTCTCATCTTAACTCAAATGTCACTTCCCTGAGCGCTGGGCGCCCCCCATAATAACCCTCGACTCCTCCACACCTCCCCTCCCTGATCTGCTTGATTATTACTTATGGCAAAACTATTCACTTGTTACATGTGAATGGTCTCTCTCTCCTCCAACCGGGCTCTAAACCTCTTTCACCATTAAGCTCCCAGGATCACAACTCAATAAATGATGTCATCCTCAATCTATCTGTGTTAACCAAAAAGAGTATTACACCGTTTTTTTTGGTTTTGGTTTTTCTCCGGTACCGGGAACCGAACTCACAACCTTGCGCTTGCCAGGCAGGCGCTTTGCCGCTGAGCTAAATCCCCAGCCCCCATTACACCGTTTTCAGTAACATCTGAAGCTGGGCAAGGTGGTGCCCACCTGTAAACCCAGCTACTTCGGAGGGCTAAGCAGGATGATCCCAAGTTCTAGACCAGCCTGGGCACTTTAGTGACTGATTGAGAACCTTTCTCAAAAAATAATTTAAAATGGGCTGAGTATGTAGCTCGGTATGAAGGCCTGGGTTCAATCCCCAGTCTTACACACACACACACACACACACACACACACACACACACACACAATGTCTGAGGAGAAAGATAAAGTGTGAATACAACTTTGCCCCAAGAAGTAGTCGGCGAGCAGTAGTGTTGAAAATACAGGGAACTCCTCCTCCACATGTTCTGCAGGCCAGAGGGGGAGACCCAACTTTCCCTCTGATAAAGATTCCTTTGATTATTTTCCTGGATTAAAGAAAAATGCTGGTTGCACCTGGTGGTGTATGCCAGTAATCCCATCACTTTAGGAGGCTGAAGCAGGAGGGTCACAAGTTCAAGCCCAGCCTGGACAATTTAGCAACATAGTGAGACCCTGCTTCAAAATTTAAAAATAAAAAGGATTGGAGATGTAGATCTGTGTGAAAGCTCGCAACAAGCAAGCAAACAAAAAGCAGCTGGGCCGGGGATGTAGCTCAGTAGCACAGCACCTGCCTGGCAAACAGGAGGTAGTGAGTTTGATTCCTGGTACCAAAAAAAGAAAAGCAGCTGAGTGTGATGAACCACACCTATAATCCCAGCACTCTAGGCTACAGCAGGAAGATCAAAAATTCAAGGCCAGCCTGGGCAATTTAGGAGACTGTCTCAGAAATAAAAAGGGCTGGGATTATAGAAATAAAAATTAAAGTACTGAGATTCCATCTTCCTCCAGAAATGCTGGCAAGGCTGTAAGGGGAAGAAAGGAGACCTTCTACAGCAGTGGTAGGAATGTAAACTGATACAACCACTATGGAAATCAGTATGAAGATTCCTCAAAAAGCTAAAAGTATAAATTCCATTTGGCCTAGCTATTTCCCTTCTAGGTATCTTCCCAAAGGAATTAAAGATACCTTATTATAGCAATACATGCTATCTTGGTTACTTTTCTCTCCTTGCTGAGACAAAATACCCAACGCCCAAAATGAAGGAAGGAAAGGTTTATTTAGCTTACAGTTTGTGGAGGTTTCAGTCCATACTTGGCTGGCTCCGAGGCAGAAGGTAGCAAAGTAACAAGAGCAAAGTGGGGAATGGCAGCCGAACAGCAAACAGCCAGAGCAAAAGGGAGGAATGGCTGCAAGCAGCCTCTTCCCCTGCCTTACACTGTAAACAGGCTACCCCCACCTAAGGGGCGCCTAAGGGGGCGTAGCTCTCACATAATCTCCATGCCCTCCTCTTGCACAGGCTCAGGATGTATACAAAGTAAGCACCCTGGCTTCCTGCTGAGTCACTTAGCCAAACCTCTAGACTAGCCAAGTTGACACAATGTATCAACCATAACACATGCACATCCATGTTTATAGCAGCACAATTCAACAGATGAATGAATAAAAAAAATGGATATTTGCACACAGTGGAGTACTACTCTGCCATAAAGAAAGATATATTTCAGCCATTTGTAGGAAAACAGATGGACCTTAAAATTATAATGTTTTTTTGTTTTGTTTTGTTTTGTTTTGCTTTTTTTTTGAGACAGGGTCTTGCTATGCAGTTCAGGCTGGTCTTGAGCTCACTTTGTAGCCCAGGCTGGTCTCGGCCTCGCAACGATCCTCTTGCCTCAGCCTCCGAGTGCTGGGATTACAGGCGTGTGCCACCATGCCCAGCCTTATAATGGTTTTTTGAGACCATAATGTTAAGTGGAATAAATCAGACACAGACACTCAAATATCACACTGTTTCTCTTACATGTGAAACCCAAAGCATAAATAATCTAAAGCACAACATAGCTGGGCGTGGTGGCGCAGGCCTGTAATCCCAGCATTTGGGAGGCTGAAGCAGGAGGATCGCCTCGAGTTTGAGGCCAGCCTGGACTACATAGTGAGACCCTGTCTCAATAAAAGAACAAAAACAAAGAGCAAAATAAAGGGTCAACAGTAGGAAACACAGCAATAGATCTTGCTAATGAGAAGGGATCTAGAGATGAAGAGGGGAGGGAAGCGAGGGGAAGTAAAAAGAATTAGGCTGTTGATGTCCATGACGGACCAGCTCCCCACGATGAACATAATCGTGTACTACAAACGGGGACTCATAAAAAACTTTAAAAAGCAAAAATAAAAAGGGTAGGGATGTAGCTCAGTAGCAGAGCACCCTGCAGTTCCAACCCTAGTGCCACCAACAAACATGGACTGCCATTCTGGGGCTTCCATGGTGTTATGATGGGGGGACCCAGGAGGTGGCCATGACCTCTCCTGTGACCCTCTCAGGACACCAGGCGTCCAAACCTCTGGGCTACTCGGAGCCCTGGGGCTGGGTTAGGGTGAGTGATGGTGAACACTCTGGAGGGATCGTACTGAGAAAACCAGCAAAGAAAGGCAAACATAAATCCAGCACTGAAGCTCATGCCTATAACCCCAGCGCTCTAGGAGGCTGGGGCAGGAAGATTGCAAGTTCAGGCTCAGTCTGGGAAGTCTAGCAACTTAGTGAGGCAGTGTCTCAGAATTTTAAGAAAGGGCTGAAGACGAAGCTCAGTGTTAAGACCCTGGGTTCAATTTCTGGTACCACCAAAAAAAAAAAAAAAGAAAAAGAAAAAGGCAGGAAGCACCCGTGGGAAAGGGGAGCATGAGCAGAGAGTGGAATGGTGGGGTGCCTGTGTGCTGATGGGAACAGTTTTGCACAAATGGGGAGATCGACCATGTGCAGAGAGGGTGGGGGTGGAATCTGATACAGAAGTGGGGCACCAGCAGTTGGGGGATCAGCAGCTGTCACCACAGCTTGTGCTGTCACTCAATAAAGGCAGCAAGATTGGGCATCTTTCAACGACACGAGAGGCAAGGTGAGGTGCTTGGGACACTGTTGTGCAAGGTCATCCTGGAGCTGAGGGGGAGGGCCACAGGGCTAGGGCACAGCCAGGGATCCCGGCCAGGAGCAGATGACACTCGAGCCGCTTGGGGCAGGGCTGGGTGCGAGCAGCCAGGGCTGGGTGTTGCCAGGGGGCACAGCGGAGACAGGGCAGGTGCGGGAAGGGCGTGACAAGGACCGGGCCAGCTGTGTATATGCAGGTGGCTCAGGTGGAGTCAGGGCCGGAAAGTGGCAGAGCTGGCGGGGGTGGGGGATGGCTGCTGGAAGCTTCCAGAAGCTCGGGACCGCAGAGGATTGTGGGTTGTGGCTGAGGGCAGAAGGAGCCACGCTGTTGTGGAACAAGCCGCACCCTGGGATGGGCCCGAGGCTGCATGCAGAACGTCTCAGGACTGTGTGTGTGCACGTGAGGGCGCTCACACACACAGGCTCACACTCATTCATGCCTTGCCCCCTTTGACCCCTAACACTGTCCCATTTTGGTCTCCCCTTCCTCCTCGGCTCCCTCCCATGCCACACCTGCCCCCACTCTACTCACTGTTGTGAGGAGAGGCCTTGGTACCGCCTGGGTCTCGGCAGTCTCACCTCTACACAGCGGAGAAACCCCAGGCGAGGGGGGCGCTCTGAGGGAGGGGGGTCGGGAGGAGCAAGAGCTGCAGGTCAGGGAGAGCCTCCGCTCAGAGCCCCTTGCACCCACCTCGCAGTCCCCAGCATGCTCGGGCCCACTGTCCAAGCGTCACCCTGGGACTTCTCATCCCAGTGGGGCCTTCCCTCCCTCCCACCCTGCAGAACAGTGCTCTGGTTTTCCAGGTATTATTCAGACCGGGAAACTGAGGCCCAGAGCAGCACAGCTTGCCCAAAGTCAGCAGGTCAGGGCAGTCAGGACTCAGTTCTGAAGAATGGCTCGGCAGGGCCAGGGAGCCGGGCAGGGAATGGCAGGGGAGGGTGACTTACCCTTCCTGGGGGGCTCTTGGTCCCAGGATGGATGGTAAGAGGGACGTGGCTGTGTTTTCCTCAGCCGTTGCCACGGGCATTGGGCACATTGCTTCCTGGGAGCTGCCCTTGTGCCCCCCTGCAGCGAGCTCACACAGAGCCTCCCGTGGGCTGATGCGTGGGTCACCAGCCTCCCTGCGGGGGTCATCTCCAAGGGGCTGCACACAGCTGTCCAGGGCACAAGGCTCTGTCCGCTGCACTGTGTCCACGCCATTCTCTGCCTGCTGACCTGGTGACTGACACTCCGGGTCCTGCCAAGCACAAGATGCCAGAGATGAGGAGTCCTATCCTGGTTCCAGTGAACCTCAGAACTCACGGGGAGACCAGAGATCACACGCTTGCCGCTGGTCACAGCGCACGAACCGCAGGCATCATCTGACCATGCTCTCCCTGCACCCCTCCGAGCAGCATGGGTCTCCTCCTGCGAGGGATGGGGAAATCAAGGTCCAGAGAAGCCACAGCCTGCCAGAAGCCTGTCCCATACTTCCCTGGGCAGGGGGAATGGGCACCTGGAAAATCAAGAAAACACGCCCCACCGCTGCTTTTTGGTGGTGCTCAGGATTGCACCCATGGCCCTTGCACAGAACTATATCTTCTACCTGTTTAAATTTTTCATTTCCAAACAGGATTCTCATTAAATTGCTAAATTTTTCAGCCTGGGCTTGACCTTTCAATCTTCCTGCCTCAGTGTCCCAGAGTGCTGGGATTTCAGAAGAGTCCATCCTTAGATTTCCCAAGGTATGTTTCAAAGGCAAGAATCCTCAATCCATTCCTTTTCTTTTTTTTTGAGACAGGGTCTTGCTATGCAGCTCAGGCTGGGCTTGAGCTCACTTTGTAGCCCAGGATGGTCTGGAACTTGCAATGATCCTCCCGTCTCAGCCACCTGAGTGCCGGGATTACGGGAATGCGCCACCATGCCAGGCTCTCCATGTATTCAATTGTGTTTTTACATTAACTCTTATAAGACTTGTGATAAAGCCACTGTAATCAGTGAGCTGGTGATTTAGCTCAGTAGCACAGTGCCTGCCTGGCAAGCGCAAGGTCATGAGTTCGATTCCCGGTACAGGAAAAAAAAAACCAAAAAAAAAAAAAGCTACTATAATCAAAGCAGTGTGGAATTGGAATAAGATAAATAAATAAATGGAACAAAATAAGTTCCAGGGGCTGGAAGTATAAAAGGGGTAAAGCACTTGCCTAGCATTGGTGAGGTGCTGGGATTGATCCCCAATACCACAAAAAAATTAAATTAAATGGGGAAGGAGATTCTAGACATAGACTTATAGAGATGTGGTACTTTTTTTTTTTTTTTCTGTCTTTTTGAAACAAGGTCTCGCTATGCAATTCAGGCTGGCCTTGAGCTCACTTTGTAGCCCAGGCTGGTCTTGAACTCACAACGATCCTCCTGCCTCAGCCTCCCAAGTGCTGGGATTACAGGCATGCCCCACCACGCCCAGCGGTTGATTTTTGACTAAGGCACAAATTCACTGGAGAAAAGTTCAGTGTACAACAAATGGTGCTGGAGTGATTGGAGAGACACATGCTAAAAAAAGAACTTTGGGGCCAGGGATGTAGCTCAGTGGCACAGCACCTGCCTGGCAAAGGCAAGGCACTGAGTTTGATTCCCAGTACCAAAAACAAAACAAACAAACAAACAAAAAACAGAACTTTGATAAAAAACTCACAACATACATGAAAATTGATTCAAGATAGAGCATCAATCTAAATCTTTTTTTTTTTTTTTTTTTTTGAGACAGGGTCTCACTATGTAATGCAGGCTGGCCTTGAACTTGCTTATGTAGCCCAGGCTGGCCTCAAACTCATGGGATCCTCCTGTCTCAGCCTCCTAAGTGCTGGGATTACAGGCATGCACTACCATGCCCAGCTAAACCTAAATGTTAAACCCACAAACTATAAAACTTCTTAAACAAAATAGGAGAAAATCCTAAGCAAAAATTTCTAAATTATAACATAATATCAAAAGTTTAGGGGCGGGGGATTTAGCTCAGCAGCACAGCGCCTGCCTAGCAAGTGCGAGGTCATGAGTTCAATTCCTGGTACCGGAAAAAAAAAAAAGTTTGAAGCCAGATATGGTGGCACACACCTGTAATCCCAGCACTTGAGAGGCTGAGGCAGAAGGATTGCCTCAAGTTCAAGGCCAGCCTGGGCTACATAGTGAGTTCAAAGCTAGCCTGAGCTGCATAGCAAGACCCTGTCTCAAAAACAAAGTAAGACGGGGCTGGGGATTTAACTCAGCAGCACAGTGCCTGCCTGGCAAGTGCAAGGTCATGAAGTCGGTTCCCGGTACTGGAAAAAAATCAAAACAGACAAGCAAACAAACAAAAATAAGACAACAAAAAACAGAGAGAAAGTTATCTGGGTTCAAGTGAAGCACCAGCCTGCCCCGCCCAGAAAAGTGCACTTTGTGAGGACCAATGGCAAGGAGCCCGAGTTGCTGGAACCTGCTCCCTATGAATTTAAGGCATAAGCTTGGGATGGAGCTCTGCCATCCTAATTTTTAGCACGTAATTAGTGGCTCAGGGTTCTAGGCCTTACTCAGAAATAAAAAATCATCCTGTATTGTAGGGGTGGTTTTCGAAATTGAAGAGGTGGGTGGTGCCTTTACTTCAGAAACAAATATTTAGGGCAGATTTTCATTCTACCTAGTTAATTGTGTCAGGTCTTTTCAGTGTGTTTCTTGCTGAAAGCTATTGCTGAGGTATCGTGTAGGTATACACCCAGGTGGCCAAATATTTATGAAATATTTATATTGGCTTGAAGATCTTGTACATCACCATGGGAAAGGATGTATCAAAATAAATAGAAATTACTGCAGTTAAATAAATGGAAATCATTTCAGTTAAATAAATTGTTTAAAGCACCTATTGTGAAAAAAAATTAAGAATTTCTGTTCTTTGAAAGCCACTGTTAAAATAATGGAAGAGACAAGTCACAGGTTGGGAGAAAATACTTAAACCAAATATCTGATAAATCACTTTTATTCAGAATAGTTAAGAGCTCCAAAATTCAAGAATAAGAACTCAATCAAAACAAAAGGGGGGGCCTGGATTCATGGCTGCTCGCCCACAATCCTAGCACTAAGAGTGGCTGAGACAGGAGGATCAGGAGTTCAAGCCCCACCGGGGCAACGCTGTAGTCTGTCTCAAAATAAAAAAGACTGGGGACATAGTCTGGTGCAGAGCATTCCCAGATTTAATCACTAGTACTACAAAGGTGGGGTGGATGAAAAGACAACAGATAGAACAGAAAAAAAAATTTGTTAAATATCTGACAGGAGTCGAGTATGTAGGATGTAAAAAGATATATACAATGGAGTATTATTCAGCCAGAAAGAAGAACAAAATCATATCATTTCTAGAAAAGTTGACAGGACTGGAGATCATCAAGAGAAACAAGCCAGCCTCAGAAAGTCAAAGTCCCACACTGTCTGTCATATGAGGAATCTAGAGTTGGGGGAGGGGTGGCAGGAGAGTAGAAGAAAGAGTATTAGAGATGAGGAAGAGAATGGGGAGGGGAAAGGAAGTGGGAGGGAGCAATAACGGAGAGTAATCAAGCTATGTTATACCACGTACCAGATGTGTATCCAACATGTATGCAACAAAACCCATTGTCCTATTTTTTTTTTTTTTTTTTTTTTTTTTTTTTTTTTTTTTTTTTTTTGTCTTTTTGAGACAGGGTCTCGCCATGCAGTTCAGACTGGCTTTAAGGTCACTTTGTAGCCCAGGCTGCTCTTGAACTCACAATGATCCTCTTGCCTCGGCCTCCCAAGTGCTGGGATTATAGGTGTGGGCTACCACACTTGGCTCTGCATAGCATTATTTGGTATGTAGGCTGAAACATTGTTCCCTTCTTCAAACTTTAGTAGACTACTGAACTGATTGTGGTGCTTTGAATATTCAGACTAGTAAAACTTTACTATTTAACTTCCCTTATTTAGGACCAAGAGATATTTATTTATTCTTCTTTTTGAGGCAGGGTCTCACTATGCATTTCAGGCTGGCCTTGAACTTATTATGTAGCCCAGGCTGGCCTAGAACTCGCAGCAATCCTCCTGCCTCAGCTTCCCAAATGCTGGGATTATACCCATGCGCCATTACACCTGGCTGAGATTTTTTTAAATTAAGGATATTGATACATTGAATATTTGAATATTTTCTTCCCATTTTGCAACATATATTATACATTTTGAAGACCTCAATGAATTCCTACTTGACACCTACTTCAATACTTAAATTAGCAGGGTGTGGTGGGGCACGCCTGTAATCCCAGCACTTGGGAGGCTGAGGTAGGAGGATTCTTTCCAGTTCGAGACCAGCCTGGGCTACAAAGTGAGCTCAAGGCCAGCCTGAACTGCATAGCGAGACCCTGTCTCAAAAAGACAAAAAAAGAAAACAAAACAACTTAAATTAGGATCCGGGAATATAGGTCGGTGGCACAAGCACCTGCTTGGCAGGCAAAAAGTCTTGAGTTCGAGTCCTTGTACAAAAAAACAAAACAACAACAAAAGAAAAAAACTTAAATGTACAAGACGACTGCATCAAGTCTGGGAATGATAGAGAATTCTCATTCATTGCTGGTGGGGACGTTAACTGGTAAACCACTTGGTTTACTGCAGGCAGTTTCTTAATACATGAAACGTGCTCATAGCATGCGATCCACTCCACTCCTAGTATCCGCTCCAGAGAATCCAAAGTCTCTATGCGTGGGTGTGCGTCGATGTTTGATTTGTAATAGGAACATCTGGAAACTAGGGCTGGGCTATAACTCAGAGGTCCTGGGCCACAAACAAAGAAAAAGCTGGAAATGATGTGGAGGTCCATGGAGCAGCGAACGGAAGAGGACATCCACAACCCAGACAGCAGCGCGCTCCTCAGCAACAGCGAGGAGAAACAACTGACAGGGACGATGACAAATGATTCGCAGATTGATCACAGAGGCAAAGAAGCCAGGCCAAAGGAAGGTTCACTTTTAGAGTCCACGGAAGGGAAACACTGCGGAGAATACCAGCGAATCCGCAGTGACAGGAAGGACCAGCCTGTTCCCTTAAGGCGCGGGAGGTTCCCAGATATAGAGACCCGAACTATGGTGGATGGTAACAACTTTTTAAACATGTAAAAAAAAACAAACAAACACAAAAAACCCGCAAGGTCCTGAGTTCGATTCCTGGTACAAAAAAAAAAAAAAGAATGAGGGGATGACGGCGTCTAAAGTGAGGGGGAGTATTTTGGGGGAAATTAATAGCAGTGTGCCCTTTACTATAGTAGGTCTTTGAAATATTTACCGTATATTTTGACCACCCCTTGTATGTCCAGACATCAAAGTGCAGCCTTGAAATACACGCAAGTGTACGTCCATCGTACCCTACTGAAGCTGTTAGAGAAATAATCTTAAAAATAAATGAAAAGGAATGCTTTAGTTAAATGACTTGGCAAGGGCACCATCGTCTGACAGTGTCTTGCAACATGCCACAAGGCGAGCAGCCCAGGGGCAGCTTTCAGGAGTCCTGGTGTACAGAAGTGAGTTCCGACGGACACCGAACCTCATCTCCACCTTGCCCCGCGACCCCTTGGCCCCGCACACCCTGTGCGCCCCTCTGGAATCAAGATGAAACCCTTTCGGTGCGGGCTCCCGAATCCCAGGGACCCACACACTAGGCAAAGAGGAAACAAATGCAGGCGCATCGGAATGGGGCCTGGGGCCTGTCACGCCCCTGTCGGGATCTCCGTCCAGGTCTCCTGGGTTACCTGGCGGCCCTCGCGGGGCTGGTCCTCCCCGGTCCCTGGCTTGCGCGGTCTTCCCTGCTGGTCCTCGGGCTCCGTCCCTGGCTGCTGCAGTCCTTCTGGGATCGCATGGGGCCTGGAAGACAGCACCCTGAGCTCGCTGCCTGTATGGGCCCAGGCCTGGCCTGCACCCAGCTCCCTGGTCCCTTCCAGGTTCTTCCTGGGGGAACAAACAAGGGGATCCTTAGCTCCAGGCCTGGGGCTCTCAGTTCTCTTTTCCTTTCTCCGCGCAGTCTGCTTAATGCACAGGAGAACAAATGAAGGATGAGCATCCTCCGAGTCACAGACGCTCTCATGTCAGTGTCGGGGGAGTTAGGCTTTAACTCTTTCTGGTGTTAGTCACTGTGTTTCAGAAACAGGAAATCAGAGAGAACTGGAATTGAGAGAGATTGAGAGACCCAAGTCCAGGGTCAGAGAGTTTAAGATGGCAGCTCAGGATTTGAATCTGTGTCTCTCTGGTGCCACTTTCATATTTTGTAAAAAATAAGAATGTTTTATAGTTTTGAGCCTGAGGTGGCAGTCCATGCACGTACTCCCACTGCTCTGGGAGGCTGAGGCAGGAAGATTATAAGTTTGAGCTTAGGTAGGGCAATTACCAATTTAACCAACTTAGCAAGACCCAATCTCAAAAAATACTAAAAAGGGGATGAGGATGTAGCTTGGTGTGAAGGCCCTGGGATAAAGGCCTTTATCCTCTACTTCTTATGCATGCACTTATTTTTATTTTATTTTATTTTCATTTTCATTTTATTATTACTATTATTTTTAGATTTTTGAGAAAGGGTTTCACTGTGTAGTTCAGGCTGGCCTTGAACTCAAGATGATCCTCCTGCCTCAGCCTCTTCAATGCTGGGATTATAGGCCCACACCCCCATAGCCGGCTACAAGCATATATTTTTAATGGAAATTTAATTGCTATCTTCTAATAACTGAATGTTTTTACATTGTTATATTACATGTGCTTTTTTTGTTGTTGTTGTTGTCTTTCTTAGAGACAGGCTCTCACTATGCAGCTCAGGCTGGACTTGAACTCACTTTGTAGCCCAGGCTGATCTCAAACTCACAAAGATCCTCCTGCCTCAGCCTCCCAAGTGCTGGGATTACAGGCATGCACCACCACGCCTGGTTTACATGTGCAATTTTGTAATGTACTTTTTTCAATAAACATTATAGGCTTTCCTGTGCTAAAAATCCTTCCTGTGCTAAAAAAAAAAATAACTTTTTTTTTTGGATACTGAAGAATGAATTCAGGACCTTTGTGCTGTGCTACAACACCAGCATTTTTTATCTCTATTTTGAGCCTAGGTTTGGCTAATTTGCAAGTTGCCCAGGCTGGGCTCTAATTTGTGATCCTTCCACCTCAGCCTCCTAGAGTGCTGGGATTATAGATGTATACCACCAGACCTGGCTCATAAATATGCTTTTTTTTTTTCTTTGTCTGGTTCTTTCTTTTATTTTTTTATTTTTATTTTTTTGCAGTACTGGGAATCGAACTCAGGAACTTGTGCTTGCTAGGCAGGCACTTATACCACTGAGCTATATCCCCAGCCCCCCTGGTTCTCTCTTGATTTTTTCTACTTAGGTTTGATTTTTTTTTTTTTTTTTTGTACCGGAAATCAAACTCAGGACCTTCCATTTGCCAGGCAGGTGCTTATGCCACTGAGCTATATCCTCGGCTCTCTATTTAGAAAGAACATATTTTCACTCTAGAAAAAAAAATTTAAATATATACAATATTTAGAGAATAATAACAGTGACATCATGTGCATCTTCATGAGTTGCTGGGCCTCTTGGCCTCTTTTTATTCATTCTTCTACCAATTCAGTGAATAAATATTTATTGAGCATCTACTATGTATGTGCCAGGCATAGTACTAAGTATAAAGGGTCTGAGGCTGAACAGTATATATATATATAAATGCCCCTTCAAGAAGACACGTGGGGGACCGGGCATGGTGGCACACGCCTGTAATCCCAGCACTCGGGAGTCTGAGGTAGGAGGATCCTTGCGAGTTCGAGGCCAGCCTGGGCTACAAAGTGAGCTCAAGGCCAGGCTGAACTGCACAGCGAGACCCTGCCTCAAAAAGAAAAAAAAAAACAAAAACGAAGAAGACATGTGTGGCCGGGGATATAGCTCAGCGGCACAGCACCTGCCTGGCAAGCATGAGGTGCTGAGATCAATTCCCGGTACCAAAAAACAAACAAACAAAAAAGAAGACATGTGATAGAAGTTTGGGGCCTGGTGGAGGGGGACAGACGCAAGTTTAACGCTGATAATTCTTTAGTGAGATTGGTCCCGTACAGGTTGCTGGACCAGCTGGCCTGCTCGCTCTGGGGGTTTAATTCTCCCATTTGGGTTAATTCTCCCTGGCCTCCCATTTGTAACCCATTTGGGTTACAGTGGATTCTCTCAGAAGCCCCAGCTCACCTTGGTCTTTCTGGAGGCCCGTGCTCTTGGGTCCCGAGCTCTGAGCACCCCTCCTCAGAGGCTTCTGTGTGTTGGAGCCCCGTCTCTGCCCCTCCTAGAGTTGACAAAAGCTGCTTCTCATTGCGCATTTCTGCAGCATCCGGAAAGTCTGCCTGGAACAGAGATGCCCATGGTGCTGGCACAGAGCGGGCTGGTGCGAACCCCAGCTCTCGGTGGGGGGCTCCTGGCCTCAGGGTCAGGGACATCCTGGGGGCTCACTGGGGAAGGCACTGGGGAGAGGAAATGCTGAGTGGGAGGGAGAGAGGCTGGGGTGCAGGCCTGGCCCAGGCGGAAGCTGTCCCCAGCAGCAAGGGCTCTGGCAGGAAGCTGGGGTCGGTGTCAGTCGGAGCCCAGGAGGCCCCTCTGAGGCCAGCTGGGGAGCGCACCCTGGGGACTTCAGGGACCCCATGAGTCTGAGGGAGGGCCATTCACAGTTCCCCCTGCTCCAGAGCTCAGGCTCTGTGCCTCCATCACCACCTCACTCTCTCTCTGCAGCTGGGTGACCTTGAGCCAGTGACGTAGAGCTGGTCCCCAAGTCTAACGACCTGACTCCATGCATTAAATGACCAACTTGTTATAATAAAAGATTCTGATGGAGCCAGTGAGCACCCACCAGAGGCAGGGCCTGGGGCACGTAGTTTCCATCACACACAGGAAACAAGCGAAGCTTGGAGAGGCACGGGGCCACGCCCAAGGCCGAGTAGCCAGAGCAGGACAGGGGCCCCACCACTCTGCTTGCGGGGAAAATGAATGGGCAGAGAAGGAAGCCAGGATGTTCCCAGGCTTCCCACCAAGCCTCCCGCCCTCCAGGCCCTCTCACTTCGACTGTTTGTTTTATTCCCATGCCCGGGATTGAACCCGGGGTCCTGCACAAGCTGAGCACCCCTCTACTCCAATCCGCATTCCCACCCCTACAGTGACATTTTGGCCCTGAGGAAGCTGGGCTTCTCTGTCTTCAGCGCATGCAACTGGGCACTTTTTGAGAGAGAGAGAGAGAGAGAGAGAGAGAGAGAGAGAGAGAGAGAGACTGGATGGAAAGAGGTGGGGGGCTGGAGGACGCTGCTATGGTTTGGCTAAGTGTTCTGCAAAGCCTGTGCGGAAAACGCTTGCTCCCTGGGTTGTCCCCATTGAAAGGTGAACAAACTTTAAGAGGCGGAGCCTAGTGGGAGGTCTTTGGGTCACTGTGGGCGTGGCTTCCCCCTTGAGGGCCTCAATGGCCAATCCCATGCCCTTCCTCTTCCTCTTTCTCCTTTGCTTCGGGGTTAAGAGGTGAATGGTGTGTTGCTCTGCCACACACTCTTTCCATGATGGCCAGAAGCCATGGGGCTCATGACCATGCACTGAAACATCTAAAACTGTGAGCCAGTATAAACCTTTTCTTTCAACAAGTCAGTGCTCCTAGATAGTTGTTATAGTGATGGAGCACTGACTAACACAGAAGCCTAGGGGCCAGGGAGGAGTATGGATGGCCTTGAGGAGCTGCCAGAGGAACATAAATGTTATGAGGGGGGCTGGCGGCCATGCAGGGTACCTGCTGGATTATGTAAGAGAGCCTTGGTTTGCTCTCCAGCATTTTCCTGTTACAGAAGCCAGCATTCTTTTGGTGGGAACTTTCTCTTCTCCACTGGGTTCCTGGAGTTCAGTGAAGCCAACCAGTAACTTGAGCACCATTGTACCAAGAAATCCAGGCCACTCCCCTTTGCCATGGTGATTGCCTCAGGCATGAGCATGTGACCACATCTTGGCCAATGAGAGTAATAGCAGAGATTTGCTTCAGCTGCTGTGAAGGGGGTGTCTTCCTGTTGGGGATGCTAAGTCAGAGGATTCAAGATAGGAAGAGGGAAGCCTGAGGTGGCCCAGGAAGTCCTTGTCACCTTGTAGGGAAAGGCTGCTTGAGAATGAGCTCAACACAGGGGAAGGCAGAACCAAAAGATACTCATTTAGCACCTTGAGCCAGCCATACCTGAAGATGATGATGGATTTCTCTGTTACCTAAGCAAATATATTCTTATTCCTGCTTAATTCAGTTTGAATTGGGTTTTCTATCATCAGTAACAGAGCCTTAATTTTTTTGTTTTTGTTTTTGTTGTTCTTCCGGTACCAGGAATCAAACTCACGACCTTGTGCTTGCCAGGCAGGTGCTGTGCCGCTGAGCTAAATCCCCAGACCCTAACAGAGTCTTACTTAAAGCATATGGGGAGGAACCCCGGGCAAGGAAAAGGAAAGGGGCCAGCTGAGAGTGGAGGTGTCAGAACATGAGGCCAAGTCGCTACCTGGCCGATTGCTGATACGGTGGACTCGGCATCAGCCCTCTTTCTGATGGGACTCAGCACAGGACGTGGCTGGAGCCCTGGGTCCTCAGTCTGGTCTTCCGCGTCCATCTGGGTGTTTCTATTGGCCATCATTCGGGAGCCAAGCAGGGCACCGAGTGAGGGGCGTCGGCTGCTGTGTTTGCAAAGGAAAAACTGCGTCAGGGTCTCCGGCATCCTATTATCTCATGCTGCTTCAGCAGCCCCGATGGAGCCTGTGGGGCCTGGCTCGGCGGGAGGCAGAAGAAGGGACAGCGGCAAAACAGAGGGCGGGCCGCGCCTAATGCCCCTACACCTTTTCCTCATTCTCGCAATGATCTGAGGAGAAGCAGGCACTGGGGGCGTGCCAAGACTCTTGCCCCAGGTTTGCAAGGAGATCCGCCGTCCCCTCCCTCGAGCCAGAGTAATGCCGTCTTGATCTGGCTGCTCTAAAGAGTCCCTAAAGGGTCCAGCACGCTGGCCAGGACCGAGCGCAGCGCGCCAGGTCACCCTCCCCCACGGCTGCGCAGAGCTTGCTGAGACCGCGGCGTTCCTGGTGAGGAGGGGATAGGGACGGCGTACACGCAGCTTTCCCCAAGGACTCTTCTTGCCTTCGATTCTCTTTTTGCTGTTTTGATTACAGCCATCCCTATAAACCCATGAGCTCAACAAGGTGGGGGTGGCGACTTTGGTCGCGCCGCAGCCCACCAGCGGTCCGCCACTCTGTAGGCGCCCTCTCCTCAGCTCATTGCGCGGAGAGGTCATGGCTGTAGGCAGACCCCCAGGGGTCCTCTCTTCCCCCTTCCTCTGAGCCTTCCTGCCCCAGAGCTGGGTGACCCCTCTTGGGCCGTTTGATTACCCCCTCATTGTCCACTGAACTTTGGAAGTGTAAGGCCCCAACATTCCATGACCTAAAGTTTTTTGGGTGGGGCAGAGGCCCCAGAGGAGACCTGGCCCCATCTGTGGCTGAGAATTTAGACAAGAAGGGGGAAGCCCCAGGCCCAGAAGAGGGGCAGGAGGCCAAGGACAGACTCAGGGTAAGGGTGGCAAGCACAGACTAGCACCCCTCGCAAAGCCCTGGGTACCCTTTTCTGTGAGTGGCTTTACTGAGGTGTAATTCACGTACCAATACCATCCACCTTTTGAAATTGTGCAACTCAGTACCTTATAGGATACGCAGAGTTGGGCCCCGGTCAGCGCAATTTCAGAACCTCTTAATCACCCCCCAAAAAATTCCTTGGTCAGCACCTCCTAGCTGCCCTCCCCACCTCTAGCATCAGGTAACCACTAGCCTTTCTGATGCTATAGATTTCCTTATTCTGGATAGTTCTCGTAAATGGAATCAGACAGTGTGTGGTCCTCAGGGATGGGCTTCTTTCACTTAGAATGCTTTCAAGTACATTCATTTTGTAGCAAGCATCAAAATTCCATTTGGTTTTTTTCTTTTGGGGTATTGGAGATAGAACCCGAGGGTTTGCACATGCCAGACATGTGCTGTGCCACTGAGCGACACCCCAGCCCTTTATTCCTTTTTCTGGCTGAATAATATTCCATGGTGTAGATAGGATACTGGGTTGATCCATTCATCAGATGATAGGCATTTGGGTTGGTGTGGATGGAAAATGATACCGTGATTTGGTAAAAGGCAAAAGATTTACACGATCTGAAGAAAAACCAGAGTATGATACTGTGATTTGGATTGTTACTTCCCTGATGGTTAATGACACTGGACAGCCTTCATGTGCTTATTGCCTATCTGTATATCCTCTCTGGAAATTATATTGGGTTATTTATATTGAGTTATCTTTTATTGTGGCATGGTAAATGTTCTTTATAAATTCTACATTCAACGTCCTTACTGCATTATGATTTGCAAAGATTTTCTTCCATTTATGTGGATTTTCTTTTTAGTTATCAGTCTCTTGAAGTACAAAATTGTTTAAATTTTATTGAAGTCCCATTTATCTGTTTTTCTCTTTTGTTCCTTAAACTTTTTGTGTCATAGCTAACATACACTAGATCCTTTTATCATAATCCAAGGTCATGAAGGTTTATGCCTATCTTTTGCTTTTTTTTTTTTTTTTTTTTTGCTTTTATGAGACAGGGTCTCGCTATGCAGTTCAGGCTGGCCTTGAGCTCATTTTGTAGCCCAGGTTGGTCTCGAACTCACAACGATCCTCCTGCCTCAGCCTCCCAAGTGCTGGGATTACAGGCGTGTGCCACCATGCCCGGCCCTCTTTTGCTTTTAAGACTTGTATAGCTTTTAGCTCTTACATTTGCACCTGTGATCTATTTTGAGTAGCTTTTTGCATATGGGGTAAAACAGGGACCCAACCCAACTTCATTCTTTTGTATGTGAAGATCTTGTCCCAGCCCCATTGGGTGAAAGACCATTCTTTCTCCATTCTGTCACCCTCTCCTCCATACTCATGGAAAGTCATATGACTGCTAATGTGAGGATTTACTTCTGGATTCTCATTCTGTTTCACTGACTGATATGGCTATGTTTTTTTTTTAGACAAGGTCTCAACTATATAATTCAAGCTGGCCTTGTATTCCCAATGATCTTCCTGCCTCAGACTCCTGATTGCTGGGATTACAGGGGTGCACCACCACACTTGGTTCAATGTCTATTGTTATGTCATGCTGCACTGTAGCTTTGTAGTAAGCTTTAAATTGGTTTTTTTTTTTTTTTTTTAAGAATGTTTTAGCATTGGGTGCCTTTTGATCCCCAACTGAGAAATACTGGGATTTCTCACAGAAATGTCTGTGATGGCAGGAAAACACAGCAGAGAAAGAAAAATGACCTATAAAATGTATATTTCCGGTGGATGCCAAGGAAGGCTTGCTCACATCAATCCCGACCCTGGCTCTGGACCTACCAGGAAGCAGCTGGAAGGATCACGGTGAGGTGTTGGTGCCGCTCCTGTGCTCACACGCAGCCTTCCTCTGCCTGCTGACTTGAGTTCGCTTGGTACCAGGGCAGTTCAGCCGGGAGTCAATGGCAGGTCCAACTGTCCTCAGCAACAGAGGTTTGGGGATGCGTCTGGGGAGCGTCCAGCCCTGTGGTCAGGGTTTAAGGCAAGGGACTGTCCAACCTTCCCCAACTACAGGATAGTGTCATGCCCCCAGGCCTGCCACTGCTTTGCTGGCCCCCACCATGCGATGAGGATGACAATCGTCACCCTGCCTACCTCACAGGGGGGTATTATGTCAAGGTGGCCTCTCCGGGACAGCCTGCCCTGCAGGCCCTGCTCAGGGGGCTCTTTGCTCCTGGGGCCCACGTGTGTTCATCCCCCAAGGCACCTGTCCTTCTGTGCTGCGGATGACTTTTTCTTTCAGTCTCCTCCATCCATGAGCTCCGAGGAAGGGAAGGTGTAGTGGCCTCACCTCAGTGGGCCCCTCGCGCTGCCCTGGCATTTGGAGGGTGCTCCATGCCTGGCTCTGTTAGACTGAACACAGCTGAAAGCTAAGCCCTGGCTGCACCAGGGCACAGAGCAGATTCGCTTCGTGCCCATGAGAAGGGCAGTTCCCTGTGACACTTGGCGTCCAGGGCAGGAGCCATGGAACTTGGTGCTGATGGATTGCTTCCCAGAGCACGGCTCCTGAGGGCCTGTCCTCTCTTAGCTGGAAGTTTCTCTCACCAGCGGGCCACCGTCGCTACTCCTAGGATGCCCTGTTGTCCCGTGCTGTTCAGCACATATCAACGCAAGACATCAGAGAGCACGGTGGCCCGTGTTCACACGGGCACTTGGCTTTGGAAAGTGGCCCTTTGAGTATGTGCACGCGCACACACTAAGCCCCGCTGTGTTGCTGCACACAGGCTCTAAAGGTGGCAGGGCCGGGCACGGTGGCGCACGCCTGTAATCCCAGCACTCGGGAGGCTGAGGCAGGAGGATCATTGCAAGTTCGAGAGCAGCCTGGGCTACAAAGTGAGCTCAAGGCCAGCCTGAACTGCATAGCAAGAGCCTGTCTCAAAACGACAAGAAAGAAAGAAAGAAAGAAAGAAAAAAAGAAAGAAAGAAAGAAAGAAAGGTGGCAGGGACATAGGGGTGTGGTCCTGTTCTCAAGAGGCTCACAGTGCAGGAAGGGAGCAGGCAAATCAAAAGAATGGTGAGAAGCTGGGGGGGGATTGTCTGCGTGGTGCTGCGACCTTCTTGCCCCTCTGCTCTTGACTTCTCTTCTCCTCCCCTTTGCCATCCTGGACCTTCAGAAAATGAGACGGAACCAAAAAATAAGAGGGAGGGGCTGGGGATTTAGCTCAGCGGCACAGCGCCTGCCTGGCAAGCACAAGGTTGTGAGTTCGATTCCCTGTACCGGAAAAACAAAACAAAACAAAACAAAAACAAAAAAGAAAAGAAAAGTTTTAAAAAAAAAAATAAGAGGGAGAACTTCCAGGCATGGTGGTACACGCCTGTGATCCCAGCACTCGGGAGGCTGTGGAGAAGGACAGCAAGTCTGAGTGTGGCCTGGGCAGCTTAGTGAGTTAACAAGACCTTGTCTCAAAATAAAAACATAAAAAGGTCCAGGGAAAAGGCTCAGTGAAAAGGCCACGAGTTCAATCCCCAGTACTGGAAAAATAAAGGGCAAAGTTGAAATTATTGGTTAAATCAATACACATAAAGAATTTTAAAAGAGGTCAACTTCGTATCCATTATGACGCTACTTATATATTTTTAAAACATGGCAAATAACCAGTGTTGGCAAGGATGCACTGGGACCACTGTGCATTGCTGCTAGGAATGAAACTGGGTGTCACTCCTCTGGAAAGCAATTTGGAGGGTCCTCAGAAAGCCGAACACAGAACTATCATAGGACCCGGCAGGAAGACAAGGACTTGAACAAGCATTTGTACACCGATGTTCATCAAAACATTAATTGTAATAGCTAAGAGGCAGTGACACCCCAAACGTCCATCAGCAGATGAATGGGTAAACAAAACAGACAGGGATATCATTCAGCTATTAAAAGGAATGGTGCCGGGCGTGGTAGCACATGCTTGTAATCTCAGCACTTGGGAGGCTGAGGCAGGAGGATCGTTGTGAGTTTGAGACCAGCCTGGACTACAAAGTGAGCTCAAGGCCAGCCTGAACTGCATAGCGAGACCCTTTCTCACAAAGACAGAAAAAAAAAAATAAAAGGAATGGGATTTCGATATTTGCCACGATATGGGTGAACCTTGAAAACGTTATGAAAAGAAATGTAAGCCAGACGTAAAAACAAGTACTGTAAGATTCCATTCATGTGATGTGCCCGGAATAGGCAAGTTCATAGACACAGAAAGTTGAGTAGGGGTTACCAGGGGCTGGGGAGAGGGGGAAATGTGGGGTTAATGGCTGCAGAGTTTGTTTGAGATAACAAATGTGTCTGGACATCATGGGATGTTTACACAACACTGGTGAATGTACCCAACTGCACGGAACTGTATCCTTAAGATGGATAAAGTGGCTGGGGGTGGAGCCTTGGGGGAGGGCATGTGCTCAGCATGTGTAAGGTCCTGGGTTCAATCTCCAGCACCAAATTTAACAACAAAAACTTAAAATGGTAAATTTTTATCTTATGTATATTTTACCACAATAAAAAAATTGTATTGGTTAGATCAATCCCATACTGAGCTTATACAGAGTAAAAAGGCAGGGAGAGAAGAAAGTTTGAGTGTTCAGTGAGACACAGATTTGGGATAAAAAGGACCCCACACTGACCCTGGCACATCCTAGTTGCTCAATAAATACAGTCCTCTTGAAATTAATGAGAGAATGGTAGGTGAGAAGTTGACGGCAAGGAAGCATTGTATCCCCTAAAATGTTCTATGTATCCATGTTAAGCCAAAGGTGATTTGAGGTGGGGGTGGGGGGGTTAGGGGAATTGAACCCAGGACCTTGTGCTTGCCAGGCAGGTGCTGTGTCGCAGCTATATCACCAGCCAGGGATGATTCTTAAATTACTAACGTTACTAAAATTCACTTCTTTAAAATAGAGTCTTTGTTGAGCTAGGCCACCTGGAGCCCGGGGCGTGTAAATCACAACACCTGAAGGATAGGGAAGCCCTGGTGACAGTCTGCAGAAAGAGGGGGAACGAAGGGTTAGGGGGTGCAGGGCGAGCTGGGTCCTAAGCAGAAGAATGGAGGTGGGAGATGACCCTCAATCAGACCGCAGATTAGGGTGGGATTTTTCTTTCTTTTTTTTTTTTTTCCCAGGCCCGGGAATCGAACTCACGAACTCGCGCTTGCCAGGCAGGCGCTGTGCAGCTGAGTTAAATCCCCAGCCTCCAGGGTGGATTTTTCTGACGCGGTCAAGGGCTTCTGCGTGGAGGAGAAGACTCTTGGAACGGCCAATGGAGTGCCCAGAACCTGTCCGCCGCGTGTCTTGAACCAAGGTGTCCAGCAGACGGCGCACGCACCGGGAGGCGCTGAGGCCCGCGAGCTGCCGCTCTAGCCAGACTCTGGTCATAGAGCCGCAGCGCTTCCGGTCCCGCGGAAGCAGAGAGGGAGGCGGAAGTGCGGTGGGCTCCGGGCGTCGCGATGGAAGAGAGCGAGTATGAGTCGGTGCTCTGTGTCAAGCCGGAGGTCCACGTCTACCGCATTCCACCGCGGGCCACCAACCGTGGCTACAGGTGACCTCCGGGTGGCCCTGGCTTACCCCTGTGCCCAGCCCCTTGCCCGCCGCTCCGACACACCCACTACGGGAGCCGAGCACGGCCCTTTCCAGTTTAGGGACCAGCGGGAGGTGATGCTGGGGATTTTCAGCTGGAGGCCAGAGCAAGAGGGGGGCCCAGAGTTGGGGCAGTCTCAGTACCAGGCGCGGGGCTCCAGGCGGCGGGGAAGCCGTTAGAACCCAGCGCCTGGGGACCCCGGCAGGCTGCCGGGAGCCATGAACTTGGTTGGGGAGGTGGTGTCCCAGAACTTTCTCCTCCAGGGCTAACTAATGGCCTTGAAGGGGTCTTTGAAAGCCGTTGGGGTGGGGAGGACCTGTCCTTGGCGAATTCCCCGAGCGGAGGGGCGGGAGCCCAGCACCTGCCAAAGGGACCCGACCCAGGGAGCTTCAGGCTGGTGATGGCCGACGCCCAGGGGGCCCTTTCCTGCCCAGCTCCCTTCCCCCGGGTGTCACCCTGGATCCCAGCTTGCAGTCGGGAGAAACCCGTCCGCACTTGTGTAATTTTCACCCGCGACATAAACACAAACGCTTGCAAAGGATGAGTATCTCTGCAAAGGACCATAGGGAACTGCCTTAAGGAAGGGGAACCCGTATTTAACTGCGAGTCACTGTACACCTTTTTGTGTTGTTTGCATTTCATTAACCTTGTGTGAAAAAAGATACCCTTGATACAGGTAACGAGTCTGTGTCCCTGAGTGGTGGCGGGGTACTGATACTTGAGGAGAGGGGTGGCTGCTGAAGCCAGGGTGTACAAAGTGATTCTGAAATACGGGATTGACCAGCTGCAAAAGAACTATGGAGCGTCCACCTACCTGCTCTCTTCTACTTCCCGATTGTGTTAGCACAGGCCGATAGTGAATTTTCTGCACCCGTGATGGAGTTTAAAAATAGTATAACAGCAACAATAAGAAAAATACATTTGCTCTCTGTCAGCAAACTGGAAGTGGGACACCAAACTGGGGATGGACATCTACCCTGATGTGCTTTTGGGTCTCAGAGTAGGGTGGGTTTGGTGCCTCTTGGTCCCCTAAAGAGTGAAGTTACTGGATGTTGGGCCTAGCTGGTTTGGCATAGAGGAAAGTGCCAGCCTTGGCATGTCACCCTCCAGTTCTCCTTAGCCAGAAGCAGAGGCCCGCTGCCCTGGTAAGAGGAACCGAAACCAGGTCTGCTGACTGGTGAATTGAGCGTGTGCATTTATGTGGCCCACAAAACAATCTTCATCCACACTTCCTGACAGCTGACATAGGCTTAGGAACTTCCAAGAAATGTCTCCTGGAAACACCCGCAGTTCTTGGTATTTAGGGGTTTTACTAAACTGCTGCTTTGAAGTCTATTTTTTTTTGAAGTTGATTGTTTTAAAAGCTGAAAGAGGCTGTTGCTTATTGGTCTCCGGCTGCGGTGGCAAGCCTGTGACACACGTGCTGTAGCTGGCTGTTTGTTATTGAAAGCTCTTCCTTTTTTTTTTGGTACCGGGAATCAAACCCAGGACCTTGCGCTTGCCAGGCAGGCGCTTGTGCCAACAAGCTATATCCCAGGCCTGAAAGCTCTAAAATGTTCGCCAACCCTGGTCTATGGTCTCATGGGTTTCTTTCTGCCTGGGATCTCTTCAGAATCTACTTCCTAAACGTTCACTTTTCTAGTGTGACTTTACTTTTCTCTTTCTATGGATGGTTGCTCCCCTGTACTTTTCCTTTAAGATGGCCTCAGGGTCCCAGCTGGGCACTCTGACCGCCATGGTCCAGCAGTGTCTTAAACAGAAACTGCCCCCTCCCCCAGCCGCTTCCCCTGCGGGAAGGAAACCAGAAGGAAATCCCACTTGGAAGAAGGTCCGCACTATAGAGTGGGGGTCAGCAAGCTACAACATACTATTTTTGAATGGCCCACAAGCTAAGAATGGTTTTTACATTTTTAAATCATTGGGGGAATTTTTTTTTAACCTATTTCATAGTGTGAAAATTGTGAGAGTTTCAGGCTTCAGTGTGTGTCTGTATAGTGTTATTAAAACAGCCATGCTCGGTAGAAAATATTTCCTTAAAATAATTAAAGCTTGCCTGGTTGTGACAGAGGCTGTGTGGCCTGCAAAGTCAAAAGTATTTACTGTCCCTTTGTAGAAAAAGTTCGCCGAGCCTTGGTCTGGAACAGGCGGCCCTTCCCATTCTTGTCCCCAACAATGGAGAGCGAGCAGCAGCCTCTGGCAGAGGCTCAGTGGTTTTTGTCCCCATAGGGCCTCGGAATGGCAGCTGGACCAGCCATCATGGAGTGGCCGGCTGAGGATCACTGCGAAAGGGAAGGTGGCCTACATCAAGCTGGAGGACAGGACCTCAGGTAAAGGCAGGAGAGGCTGCAGGGGACTGAGATGTCACATGTCCCACACGATGAAGGCAGAGGTGGCCAGGACTGGCCAGGCTGCTCAGGGTTATGGCAATCGGAGACCCCATGTACCTCTCAGCTGCCCCCATTCATGGGTCAGGTGTTGAAAACACAGCCCTCAGGTATAGAAAGGAGTCTGTCTTGTCAAGCCCTGTTCCCTTCGGGGGTCCTTTGGAGGCCAGGGAGAAGACACCGGCAGGGTGGTCCCAGTAGCAAGCAGGAAGCCCCAGCGCTTTCCTGGAAGAGAGGCTTGCCTCAGGCTGCGGAGCTGGGTTCCTACTCAGGAATTCTGTTTATCAGCCAAATGGTAACTCCCCAGAACTGAGCACGCCTGATAACTGGAGGAGCTGGAAACTCTCCTGCTCAGCTCTTTGTGTGGCGAAAGGACGGGCGTTACTGGGCTGCGTTGGGCTCAGCGGGCAGATTCCATCTCTGTGGAGGACATCTCCCTGGGTGACCCTGGAGGGCGACATGCCTGGAATCTCCCAGCCTGGGTTGGGGATCCGTTGGGCACAGGACCCACTCAGGACCCGTGGCCTTCTATTGCCTACTTTCTTCTAACGTGGAGAGTTCCCTTTGTGGAACAGAAGGAAGTGCCACGATGTAGAGGCAGAACCGCTGTGCCTTCTCAGAACTGTCCCGCATCTGCCTGAGTTGTCCGACCTTGGGCAAGGCACGTGACCTTCGGAGCCTTGGCCCCATTTTTATTGAAAGGAGAATCGTGCTAGTTCCTCCCTCACAAGGTTGCTGGAAATACGACATGAGCAGACATTTATCCCGTTGCTCTATGAGCTGTAAGGTGACCCAGGGCATTGGTTTGTTCCTTTGGAGCATGGGGTTGACAGCAGAATTGGCTGCAAAGGACTTTGAAGAGCTGGCTGCTGTGTGGGCCAGGGGGCGTGCAGCGAATGTCTGGGACATCCCATTTGGTGTCACAAGGGTGTGGCAGTAGTCTTCCTAGGAAACCTGGGGGCTGTGACTTTAACATGACTATGTTGGGGCTGGGAATATAACTCAATGGCACAGTGCCTGCCTGGCAAGCATGAGGTCATGAGTTCAAATCCCAATACAACAAAAGAAATGTTTCCCATCAGTATAAACATGCAGTGGAAATAACACATAACGTGAACATGACTACATAACGTGACAGCCACTGCACAGGGCCAAGTATCACCTGTAGGGCCCGTCCCCGGTCCCCTTAGCTCAGGTCACGTTCACCTACTTTCCAGGGTTTCTCAGCCTCAGCCCTGTTGACATCTGGGGCCATGAGAAGTATAAGATACATAGTAGTATCCCTGGCCTCTTACCTGCCAGTCCCTAGTAGGATCTCCCAAGGTGTGACAACCAAAAATGATCCCAGATTTTGCCAGCTGTCCCAATGGGAAAGGGATGCAAAATCGCCCCTGGTTGAGAATGTAGCTGTAGGCCACCGGCATCTAGGTGGGCCTGGCCCCAAAGTACCACACTGGGGGTGGATAAATTGTCAAGAAGCTGCAGGCTCGATCTTTTTTGTTTGTTTGTTTTCCAGTGCCGGGAATTGAACTCACGACCTTGAGCTTGCCAGGCAGGCGCTGTGCTGCTGAGCTAAATCCCCAGCCCCTTGATCCTCAGCCCTTTGATTGGGTTCAACCTTATTGCCCAGTCATTCTAAGCCACAGGACTTGGTAGAGATGCTTGGTTCAATACTTACAGCACTTGGGGATGGGGTTGTAGCTCAACAGCACAGCACCTGCCTGGCAAGCACAAAAAAAACAAAAAAGAACAGCAAAAAAAAACCCCAGCACTGACAGAGCAGCCCAGCAAATAGAACAGTCATAGCGCTCATGGGTTTGTGTGCCTTGAGGCAGCTCTGAGGAGCTGGCATTGACAAAGGGCTGCATTTCCCAAGGGTCCACGCCATCTTTTGCCCCATCTCTGAGACTGATTGTGTCAGCCTGCTTTGGAATCTGCCGTAGGTGTAGAAACTTCCTTCTCCTTTTCACAGGGCTGGAGGCCCTTCCTACCATCTCCCCGGTGGTCAAGGCCTTTTGAAGGGTTGGCGCACCTTGTCCAGGGCTCGCTCAGCCGGGGCCTCAGGCCCTCAGCGGGTCGTGTACATGGGTAAAGGGGGTGGAATGGGTAGGTAGCAGCTCCAGCCCAGCCTTGTCATGAGAGAATGGAGGCCCATCTTTAGATGAGTTTGTAACTTCAGGGAAAGCCAGAAGTCTGGATTATTTCACATGTAGTTTGGTTTTAAATTAAATAGATAGTAAAACCATGGACCAGTTTGACCCATAAGCCACCTCTGACTCAGACCGTTTCTTAGTTATGTTCCTTTGTTTTCCCTTCAGCAAGAATGGATCTGATGGACACCAGGCGCGGTAGTGCACGCCTGTAATCCCATTTGGGAGGCTGAGGCTGGAGGATTGCTGCGAGTTCAAGGCCAGACTGGGTTCCATAGTGAGTTCAGGGCCAACTTGAACTATATCACTAGACCTTGTCTCAAAAAAACAATGAAAGAAAGAGGATTTGATGGGAATCCTTAGCAAGTTTGCCTGTCTGCCTTGGCTTGCCAGAGTCGCCTTGCAAGGGAGAGGCTCTAGTGTTGTGATAGAAGCCCCAGGCTGGCAGGGCTCAGGGCTCACCCCACTTGTGTTTTCAGGGGAGCTCTTTGCCCAGGCACCAGTGGATCAGTTTCCTGGCACAGCTGTGGAGAGCGTGACAGACTCCAGCAGGTACTTCGTCATCCGCATCGAAGATGGAAATGGTATGTGTGGGTCTGGCTGCCGCCTCATCACAAGGTGCTCTCTGCCCCTGGGCAAGTGGGTTGATCCTGTATTGTCTCCCAGGGCGACGGGCATTTATTGGAATTGGCTTCGGAGACCGAGGTGATGCCTTTGACTTCAACGTGGCACTGCAGGACCATTTCAAGTGAGTGCTTCTGGGAGACAAGGCTCACGCCTCCTGCCTTTTTCTGGACAGGCCGACGCCCCAGGTTAGGGTGCACAAGCAGCTGTGTGTGGTTTGTGTGCTAGCAGACCCTCAGGAAAACGCAGTCTTCCTCACAGGCAGGCCAGCTTCTGTCCACTCTGCTGTCCCTGTCACTGAGGTCTTACCCTTTCCCCAGGGCCTGTCTCTGCCATCCCTGTAAGCTCCCCAGCCTTGGAGGAGTTCCGTCTTCCTCGCCAGCCCCTGAGAGCTGAGTCCTTGTCACATTCCTTTAGTCTCTCTAGGCCTGCTCCTCCCGGTGTCAAAGGGTCACTCTGATTCCCAGGCCACCCAGCAGATGCCTTTGTGTCCTTTGTGGAAAGACAGGGCACAAAAATGCTCCTCTGCCATCTGCAGGGCTCTGCCACTGACTGCCAAGAAGTGGGCAGTGCCCAGCCACTTGTGCAGGCACCCTTGTCCCTGGTGGCTGCCAGATAGCATTATACTGAGGTTGAGGACCTTTGTGTTGGCCTCCGCTTCTGTCCTGTCTCACCATGGATGAGGACTGTGCCCACACTATGCCAGCGGCTGGGAAGGAGCAGGCCAGGCCCTCACAGCACGTCCTGAAGCCCAGTGCTAGAATCCTGTATAGGGGTCTCATCGTGTTCGCAAGCATCTGAAGGCTTGGATCCTTAGCCATGGGGGGAACTGACGTGCACACAGCCGCGTACGTGTCGGAGCGGGGATTTGAATTCCTCATTCGCACCCCCACCTCATCCTGGACCGAGGCGAGTGTGTGCTGATGCAGGCAGATGCTCTCTCCTGCCTCACTGTTGCCTCCTCTTCTCTCCCCAGGTGGGTGAAACAGCAGAGCGAGTTTGCGAAACAAGCCCAGAACCCAGACCAAGGCCCCAAATTGGACTTGGGCTTCAAGGAGGGCCAGACCATCAAGCTCAATATCGCAGTGAGTCCTGCCTTCCGTGGCTGTGTTGACCATGGTCACATGAGGCTTGTGGGTGCCCAGCCCTGCCTGCCACTGTCCTCAGAGTTTATTTCCATCGGTGCAGCTGGTATTCACAGCCCACCTGCCTGTGCCCCGTTTGCACCTGGTCCATAGCAGCCTCTGCTTTCATGGAGCTCAGAGTTGAGCCGAGGTGGGCAGGTGAAGGTGTGGTTACAGCATGGCAGGAGAGACTCTGACTGAGGGTTGCCATGGTGCTATGAACGCCCAGAGGAAGGGCCGTAATTAGGGACCGAAGCAAGGCTTCCCAGAGGGACCAGGGTGTAGGAGGAGATGAAGACAGTTCAAGCTTCTGAGTTGAGAGGCAGCATTGCTCACTTGCTGCCACAGCTGGTGTTTCTTCCTGGCTGTTACAGTGGGCGAGGAGGGGTCTGTGTGCTCCTCCTGAGCTGGGTCTTGGCCTTGTGACTCGAGTAAGGAGGCCTGGGGTACTCTGGGCTGGAAGGGATCGGTGGGTGCTGGGAGTCATGGGCAGCTTGGGGCAGTGGTGTTGTCCTGGCTCCCTGCGTCTCTGTTCGGAGTGGCCCCTCTTGGCTCCTGTTACTTGGCTCCTGTTGCGTAGGAACAGTTGGGGTGGGCGGGGTTGCCAGAGCTCAGCCTGTACTCGGCTGCGGGCGTAGATCAGGGAGCTGGAGTTGGAGTCAAGAGTTTGGGGAACCAAGTGGGTTTGCTTTGTGAAGAAAGTTTGTAACTGAAATAATGCTTTTCCTCTTTACTTACCATCTCTTTCTCCTCTTTTCTGCTTCCCACTGGTGATGATTTGGGACCCTTGAAGTTGGCCAAATGGCCTTAAGAGAAAATACAAGTCCAGTCCAGTGGACAGGTTGGGATGTGATTCTTTCTCTTGCTTGGAGGAAACTAACATTTAATGAGCATCAGCTGTGGGCCAGGTAGTGTTTCCAGGCATTTCTCATGCAATTCAACACCCTTCCCTTTCTCCAGGCCCAGGGTATTGAGGTGCAGAGAGGTGACAGGACCTGACCAGGGTCTTAGCACTAGGTCTGACTGGCACAGCGGGGCTCCCAGAGGCCTGCCCATCTCACCGAACGACTAAGCTGCTGCTTCCAAGTAGGGAGCCCTGCCGTCTTCATCTGTGTAACTTGTGCTGCTTTCTGGCTCACGCTTGGCATTCAGTTTTGTGTTTTTCAAATGTTTTGTTGAAGTATAATATACACAGATAAAAATGCCCACATCACAAGTGCAGAACTCAGTGAATTTTACAAAACCCAACTTACAAACATAGAAACTTGTCCCAGCTTAGGAAGCAGAAGGCTACAGCACTGGGGAAGCCCCTTCCCTGTCCCTACCAGGTACTTCCCAACCCAGTCTCAAAGGTGCTAGAGCTTGCTTATAGCTTTCCCACGTGGAGTCCTATACTTTCTTCTCTTTTGTGTATGGCTTCTCCCTCTCGCACGCAGTGTAATTACTGGCCATGAGAGGCCCTGCGGTTGGTGCATGTGGCTTGTCCCTTTTCACTGTTGTGGCATACATACCATTGTAAGACCGTCCAGTTTACCCGGGTGGACGCAGTAGTTTCTCTTTTGGCATGACTACAGATAGAGCTTCTGTGCGTGCTGGAGTTCCTGTTGTTGTATGTACAGATGTATGCTTGCTCCCAGGTCTGCTTCCAGGAGTGGGGTTGCAGTGCCTAAGTTCCTGCACTGAGCTGTTGCTCATTCTGTTATGTATTATTTTTTCTAGTGCATGTCAGATACACAGAATAGTGGGTCCATGCTGGCGTATTTGTACATGTATACAACATACTTTGGGCATCCCTCTTCCCCAAGTCTTTCAGAGTAGCTTTTTCAGAGCAGTTTTATTGACTTAAACCTCTGCAGCAGTGCATGAATTTCCCCATATCCCTGTGGATATGCGATGGTCGATGCTGTAGCATTTAGCCTTCTGGTGGGTGTTTAATGGTGTGTCATTGTTTTAATGTACATTTCCCTGATGATGCGTGAAATCAGGAGCTGGATTTTTCAGTAATCATATTGCTGGTAGATTCACAATTGTGCTGCATTGAATATAGCCCTCAACAGTGAAGGTGCTAGATAGGACCATCTTCTGGTTATACTGGTGTTGGGGGCCTAGGGGTCCCTCTCACTTTCCTCAGGGGTTTTCTGATACAGCTGGACCTCAGCACAACTGACGGATTTGCATTCCCCTCCTCTCTAGAACATAAAGAAGAAGGAAGGAGCAGCAGGGACCCCCCGAGCCCGGCCCGCCAGCACAGGAGGGATAAATCTGCTTCCCCCGCCTCCTGGGGGCAAAGCCTCCACACTGGTCCCACCCCCTGGGGAGCAGTTGTCGATGGGGGGGTCCCTCGTCCAGCCACCAGTTGCTCCTGGCTCAGGTCAGTGTTTGGGGGCGCCGCTGAATCTGTACCTGTGGGTTGCAGCCAGGGCTTCCCTGCCTCACACTTGCTGACCTGTCGCTCTGCACCTGTAGTGGCAGGTAGGATGTGGGAGCCACGAAGTGGATACCCTGTTCCCAGACGCCTCTGGGTTCCCCCTAGGGTGTCTGCACTCTCCAGTAGCGTGCAGATACGGGTCTTCAAGAGGCATGGAAGGAGTGGGCAACACAGACGTGGTCTCTGCTCACTCCCGTGGTGGGATGGGTCCCAGGCACAAAGGGCAGCTGTGGAGCCTGGTGTGGTGGCGCATACCTGTCATCCCAGCACTCGGGAGGCTGAGGCATGTTCGAGGCCCCCTGGGCTGCAAAGTGAGCTCAAGGCCAGCCTGAATTGCAGAATGAGACCCTGTCTCAAAAAGACAAAAAATAAGAAAAATTAAAAAAAACAAAGGGCAGCTGTGTGGGGCCCAGACAGCTAGCCGCCAGCGTGATCTAGGGAGGCTTCATGGAGGAGGGAGCGCCGAGCTGGACTGTAGAGGAAGGAGAGTGGGACGGAGGTGCTGGCATTTAGGGCAGAGGGAAGAGCGACCAGGCTCACACACAGGGACCTGGCCTGCCTGGGCAGACGGGTGCAGCACAGGGTGTCCTGAGGCGAGCGGGAGGTCAGACTGGAGATGGAGTTGGATCAAGCTGCTCTGTTGGTGCTGGGAAGCTGAGAGGCAGCTCCCTCCACAGGCCTCTCGCAGCCCTTTGCAGATCCCAGGACTCCTGAAGTTAGTGCTGGGGTGCCGGCCCTTTCCCTCTGCCTCCCCACCTGGCTGCCCTGGCCAGCGTGAGGTCCCTGGCCTTCCTCAGGCTTGGAGATCATCGCCTGCCTGCCCGTTCCTCACAGCTCTCACCTGGTTCTGGGGCAGGACCCCCAGGCCTCCCAGCTTGCCTGGTTTGTGGTTGCTGCTCTGTCCAGAGGTCGGGCTTGCAGCCTCAGCCTGTTAGGGAAAGAGGCAGGAGGCGCAGGCAGGGAGCCAGGAGTTGGAGCATTATTTCTTAGCGTCTTGGCGTCTCCGAGGTCCAGGGCGGCAGTCTGCATTCTTGTTCATTTTCTTGTATGTGTGCCCACTAAGGGCTGAGAGCCGCTGCTGAGCCTTCCCTGAATTACTGCTGCCTTAGTAGTGTATTGTGCAGCATCTGGGTTGTGGCCAGTGGAGGCGTAGGCCTTGGGGACACCACAAAGACAGATGCCCTGACTTACAGTGGATGGAGTTATGTCCTGGTGAGCCCACTGTAGGTTCAAATTATAAATCAGAAACCTATTTAGGGCCCTGAGCTGGGCATAGTGGCTCATGTATAATCCCAGCCCTGAGAGAAGCTGAAGCAGGATGATTTCCCAGCTTAGCAAGAGTCCCACCTGGGTGGGCAACTTAGTGAGACCCTGTCTCAAAAGTGGTAAGAGGGCTGGGGATTTAGCTCAGTGGCACAGCGCCTGCCCGGCAAGCTCAAGGTTGTGAGTTCAATTCCTGGTACCGGAAGAAAAAACAAACAAACAAACAAACAAAAAAAGTCATAAGAGCTGGGGATGTAGCTCAGTGGTAAAGCACCCTTGGGTTCCAGCTCTCGTACTGGCAAAAGAAAGCACCCTGATAAACCATTGATAAAGTTGGAAAGCTGTGAGTCAGACCATCCAGCTGCAGACATCTGCACAGCAGATGTCCCTGCTCTCGAGGGCTCCCATTCCAGGTTCCAGGGCAGGTGGTCAGATGTCCTGCACACAAGATGGGTCATGCAGTGGTCACCAAGCCAACATCTGTCAGCACTGCCTGTATGCTCGAGGCCAGACTGGCTGAGCTTGGGTTCCAGCTCACATTAGTGTGGTCCCCAGAAAACAGCCATTTCTCTAGTTCTTATCCGTAGGATGGAGTAGAAACAATGCCCACAGCACCAGTTTCTTGTGAGGATCCAATGAGTTAATCCAGGTACTACACTTAGAGCTTCATCTAGAAACTTGTGAGCAGCAGGGCATGGTGGCGCACGCCTGTAATCCTAGCACTCGGGAGGCTGAGGCAGGAGGATCCTTGCGAGTTCGAGGCCAGCCTGGGCTACAAAGTGAGCTCAAGGCCAGCC